GACAGAACACATTCGTTTATTTAGAAATCTCTCTTACAGAAGGTTGTAACTACAATGCGCTATATTATTAATTATATATAACATATAACATTGTTGATTAAGTTGCAGTGATTGCAGTTGTATGCATAGGTGGGATCCGAAGTAAATAATCAAGATATACATAGGGCCACTGAAAATAGACGATTAATAAGATTGAACATTAAGAACATTATGAATTACAAGCTAAAAGATAAATAAAAATTATATTTATAACCGTGTGCTCTTGTTAAAAAATATCGCCAATTATAACATGCCAAAATAAATACGCTCATCGTATGAATGGCGTTATAAATCTATTTATCTTTTTATCGATCGACTATTGAGCTGAAAATTCTTACTCGAAAATATCGGAGATACAGGATCCGTGGAAATATTTATCATGGACGTGTAATTTTCATAGATAAAGTTAGTGATTCTTATCGATCATATTTTTCTCAAACAAACAAACAAACTAAATGCATATCGCTGCCATATTCATGTAGAATGTAGAATTATTTGGGAAAAATATTTGCAACCAAAAGAGGTATTGTCATAAATCCTTTTTAATGTATATGCCAGTGAATATTAAATTTCTTATTCGAACTAGAGAAACTAGGTGGCTAGACTTGTTTTATTAGTGTTAAATTTTCTGTAAAATATAACCTGCACAACATTTTTCTGCATTACAACATTATGTTAAATGCCGACGTACGCAATCCTCTCAATGATTATCTAACAACGAATGATACTTATTAAAAAAAAAAATAATTATGAAATTTTAATGAATATAACTAAAAAGCACTTGTGCTATTAAGAATTAAATTATAAAAAATACTAACCAATAAGGCGTCTAATGAATTATGAAAGGCTTAATAATCGTAATAAATAAATGAATATACGAATCAAGTTAATAAATAGATCAATAATAAAATGGATATATTAATGAGATAAGTAGAGTAAAGTAGATTAGGAAAATCCTTATGACGATGACGAAGCTTTGCTCTTATAAAAATTATTGTAAAACTCGATTAGGAAAAATGTCATATTAGGAAAGAATGAAAAATATTTTAAAAATATTTTTAAAATATTTTAGTAGAATAAGTCATTAGATTTGTATGAAGCAGCTGATTGTTAGGCTTTAATTAAATTCAATTTCAAATAAAGTATAATAAATAAAAAATACATCACAAATAAATATTATCAATATATCGTATAAATATTCATTTGATACACACGCATACGCACACGCACGCACGTACGCACGCACGCACGCACGCACACACAAACAAACAAACAAACAAACAAACAAACAAACACACGCACATGTGCGCGAATATATACACGCGCGCGCGTCTGTGAAATTAAATAATATATTAAATAAGTCAATCATAAATATAACGAGGATTTTCTGAGAAAAGCCTAAATAGTCAAATGTAAAGTAATATAACAGATAAATATGTAAAAAGGAACGTTCAAAACACTAAATTTTCCCAAGAATGTTGTGCTCTCATTTTTGCCGTTTTCTTTCGAAGCTTCGAGCAAATAAATCATTAAAACAAATTTTACATAAAAACATTTCACGATATAAGGGTATTATTATTCTTTTTATTATTCGACGTAGTATAATGTGGGCTTTTTATAGTACAAATTTATAGTAAATTATTATTATGTTCAAATGCTCCAAGACTTTCTATGGTCCCGATGATTTTCCATGCTCTAGAAATACGACAAGCAGCTCATGAAATTTGTAAGTCGTAGTGTTTGTAAGTGCGTTATATTAATATTTCATTTTGACGAACTAAACAGCTGACTATTTTTTGTCGTTTGAAAGGAAAAACTGAGTTGATAAATTGATTTTAGTGTTAAACTAGGGAACGTTTCGTTCGAATTTCATTTGAATCCGATGAATCGACTGACTTCCACTATTATAATTCCTGTTGAAATGGGTTTTTTTCAATGCGTGGCGCGTCATTGATTTGGTTTAGAAAAGCAGTTTACAAGACTCGTTGTGCTTTTATACGATAGCACTGGAGAATTGGAATCTTATTGAGGTTAAAATCAAACGGTGATGATGATTTCACGACAGAAGTAAGATGTATAAATACTAGTTCTACTATTAATTAAGAATAAACGAATAAAAATATTCATGGCGTCGAGTGTAAAACGGGATAACACGAAGCAGTAGTTAAGATAGCGAGAATTAATTTAGTTGACGGATTTCTAAAGATTTTGCATATCCCCGGCTTTCACGAATGTCTCTCGCCAATAACAGTCAGCTGAAGTAATTCCCCAGCTTCACTTTTAACGATGTCGTATCTCTCCTCGTTAACACCCGATGCTCTCACCAGCCCAACGATTCATCCTCCCTAGCGAAGCCCCCATTATTATTTTCGTCCATACGAATTATTCCATATTCCGTCCAATGAATGATGACGTCCATATGAAACGTCCCCGGCGATCGAGTGACCTAAAAGCCCGTAGAGCCGAAGGAGGAAAAATCCAGAGCGGTCATGTATATCGGTCCGACGTCGATAAGGAGAAGCGAAAAGCCGCGGAAGAAGAATGGCGGATGCGGCTCGCTATCTCCGCTTGGCAATGTGAAAGCTTGAACGCAAGCGCGACCGAGTCTCAAATAACCGGATCGCTCTCTGTCCCCCCACCACCCACCCCCCCTCCCCCTCCCCCTCCCATCCCCCACCATTTCTCACCACCAACCAGCGACACACCATCGCACTACCACTGCATGCATACTCTCGTGGAGAAAAAGAGCGCGCGCGCGCGGCTAAGAAAAACTGCGCTCAATTCCGACGGTCGACTGCCGATGGATTTTCTTACTATTTGCTTGGCTTCCTCTTGCGATTCTTCATAAAGCGCATTTCGCGCCGATCGTTCGCGATACGCGGCAGCGAAGCGAAATTTCGACAATCTTCGAGAAAGATGATCTATTTATATACGCAACGTGGTGCGTCGACATCGTAGCTTACTCAAGGTGAAATTCCACGAGGATGCGCATCGGTTCGTCAAGCTAGAGGAAGAGGAAACCACTTCGATCGAATTACCGACGCGGCGAAAGTGCCTCTTCCATGCTACGCGCTCCCATTGGACGCATGATTTCCACTAGACGAGCAACGGTTACTGGAATATCCTATCTAGAGAGAGAGAGAGAGAGAGAGAGAGAGAGAGAGGGAGGGAATGACATATAATATTGTACCATGATTCGGTGCTGCATTTCGTTGGCATCTTGTATCGCCAATTTACGACACATCCGTTACGCGCCTCCCATTAACTCACCTAAATAACTGCGCAATTACTTCCACCCCCCCCCCACCGCCACGATTAAATGACTTTTTCTGTATTCTCGTTACTTTCGTCCGAATGCTGATATTACTAGTCATCGCATTGCTGTCGAAATATCACAAGGATAATAGCTTTTGCTTTTGCTTTGTTATTTTATTCGAGCATTTCCATAACGAATTACGCACGACCATGACGATGGTGGATTTGTTAACTCTTCGATAATCTTTTGCAACTTTTACATTGCGATATTTTCACTTTGATTATTACGACAACGCACTTCGCCTAATAAAGCCGTTAGAAAATCACTTATCACATTTTTTTTTTTTTTTTTTTTTTTTTTTTTTTTTTTTTTATAGAAATTAGATTATAGAATAGAAAAAGAAATTTGCAAGAGAAATTCAATTAGAAATTGATGAATCCAAGGTTAAAGTTAAATTATTCACGACACTAGAGTCACTAGTATCTTAATCCTTAGTATTTACGAATATATAACAACATGTAACATGTTTGCTTATTATTTTATATTAGCAATTTCAGTTTTACTGTACATTATAATAAAAGCCAACTGTGACTTATAGTTCGTTTAAAATGTCCGTACGCGTGTTAAATTTTTGATTGAAATATAGTCATTAACGATAGTGACGATGATTTTAATATTAAAGGAGTTAATTTTTAGAGAGATATGATGATGATTGATTAGTAATGCAAAATCAGATGTTCAAAAGGAAAGTCACGCTAGAAGATGACAAAATAAATTTAAAATCGAATTTTTCACTAAAAGCATTATTGAATTTATAAAATATGTCTTTCCTACTTGAATAGTATAAGCCTAAGCTTATGAAAATCGTGTTATTTCATTATACTTAAATAAATTTTTCACCCTGAAATTATTAAATATCTATGCAAAGTTTAAGCGTTCATCCTTTAAAGGACTATTAATAATTACTAATAATTACTAATAATTCACCTAAGAAATTTCCATTTTGTTAAAAATACCATACTAATACTGTAATAAAAATGTATTAGTCTTTCTATTTTAAGTAGCATTTAGCAATTCAATTAAATAAGTAAATAATCGAGATGTATTATGCTCATCTATAATGCTTACAAATTATTTTAGTCTTTCCTTCGTGTTTTTTTTTTCTTTCTTCTCTTTCTTATGAAAATAAATTTGTATGGAGTCTAAAATTAAATTTAATTTAACTAATAAAGTTTTCAAATAAACGTAGATGAATGTTATAATCACATTATTTTCAAATCCCAATCAAAAATTAAAAAATCTCTTACCCTCATAAATCTAAAGTTTTCTTTTAGCAACAGTTGAGTCTATTATTTCTGAAGTATACGATACTCTGCGTATGTAGATTATTGAGTTGTCAGGTACTGCTTTATAATGTAATGTTGGCAAATCAATTATAACGCGATAATATGAAATGTTTTTATAATGTATTAATTTTTCTAACAATTGTCACGAGTGTTGTGAGTTTATTCTTGTAAAACATAATGAAGTCTTTGTTGTTTACATAAGTAATTTTAGTAAAAATTATGAGCAACGCTTGATAATAAATTTGGACGATGGTTAAAGTACTCTGTGTGAATGTTATATATATAAATTATTTATTTTAAATAATAGTTGGTAAATAATGAAAGTTATCTAACACAAATGAAACGTTGTTTGATTGTAGAGGGTAAGGTGGAAGTCTCAAGGGACGACAAATATCTGAGTACCCTGGCTCCTGGTAAGGTGTTAGGCGAATTAGCTATTCTTTACAATTGCAAAAGAACAGCGACCATAACAGCAGCGACAGATTGTCAGTTATGGGCGATAGATAGACAATGTTTTCAAACTATTATGATGAGAACTGGCCTTTCCAGACAAGCCGAGTACACGGATTTCTTAAAAAGGTATGTTTATCTACAGCAGCTATATTCGATAATTCTTAATCATCATCCTATTGGCATCTTTAATTGATAAATAAGGTTTTCGAATTGTAGGTCTAGATAATTGTAACGTAAAGAGAGAGAGAGAGAGAGAGAGAGAGAGAGAGAGAGAGAGAGAGAGAAACAAACAGTTATTATATCACTATATCGTTATTTCTTAAAGATATGCCTTATTTCATATATAAACAAGTTAGTTTCGTTCTTACATTGCTTTTCTTTTATTTTTTTTTTATTTTATTTTATTTATTTTTTTTTTTTTTTGCGATGACAAAAGTAATGTCAAATTAAAATTATAAATGAATTTTCATTGGCATTTATCGAAATTATTATTATAAGAACTTTTTCAAAAATAAAAATTATAAGAATTGCATCAGAAAAATTATTATACGCGTTTTATGACACGAACTCTATTATTATTCGATTTACATAATTTCTTATATTATAATTTGCATTTATGTAACAAGTACCTTTGTGGGTAAATGAATCAACGTTCAAGCATATAATTAGCAGAAAATCTTCCTTCTCTCTCTCTCTCTCTCTCTCTCTCTCTCTCTCTCTTTCTGGATAGATTTTGACTTTTTATTATTAACACGGTAATTATTATATTACTTATTACTATCAAGTATGAGTATCGAAATTACTCGATTACGAATTTATTGTGAATTAAATGGCTAATTTATAATCGTGTTATATGTTATTTGTTAATATTTTTATGATCATGCAATTAAATGTAAAAATAAAAAATTTCGTTAAAAGTTAAACATCAATAAACATTATTTTCAGTGTTCCAATTTTCAAAGCTTTGCCCGAGGAAACTTTGATAAAAATCTCAGATGTATTGGAAGAGGTGAGTCCTTTTAAAATAATATGCATATTTTGCATAGAAAATGTAAATATTAAGTGGATGTTGCTTTCGCATCTTAAAAAAATATATAAATATGTAAAATTTTGCAAGTACTTATTGAAATATCATGGAAATGCAATTTTTGGCTGTACGTGATAATGTGGCATGATTTTCATTATAGAAAGTACATGATATCTAATTAGCGAGGCTCTAGTCATAATACAATAGATTAATATGACTCATTCAACATCACAATATTCAATATAACAGCCAAATATTTCGTAAAAAAATATAATTAAATACTTTACTTACTGTTAAAATGTAAAAGTCTTGTTTACAAATATGTAATATTATAATTAATAAAATATACCCGTAATGAGATGTGGATGTGTATTGTTCGCTTTCTAATGTTTGATCATTCGTAATAGAATAGCCGGATGACATTTAAAACCTTTATTTGATGAAAAAAAAATGTTATTTCTCACATGTATGTACGGATAATACCTTCAGTTAATATTAATTAACAATACCTTTTAACATTATTAAGTCCTTTTATCTTAGATATAATAAGCCTTTTTAGTGTTGTATGATAAATTTATATTGCAGTCTAATATATTTATACTCGTCTATACATATTTTTTTTTCCTTATACGTTTACAGTATACCATATAAACAATGCATCTATTATTAAAAAACAAAGTATATACGTTACATATCGATTAAAAACAACACTGTATATGGGATATTACCAAGTATTAAGATCAATTATTTCATAATTCGATGAATTTAATAAATAAAGCATTTAATAATTGTTTGTTTATTAATATCGTAACATTTACGAACTCATTACACATGATCAAATCTAGCTTTTCTTTTATTTCATTAAATAGCTAAAGTTATCGTATATTATATATTATTTGTTTGCTCTAATATTTTTATTTCGTTTGTTTCTAGACTTTCTACAATAATGGTGACTACATAGTTAGACAAGGAGCGAGAGGAGATACATTCTTTATCATTAGTCGAGGTCAGGTGCGAGTGACTATCAAGCAACCTGATACTACGGAGGAGAAATATATTAGGACCTTGAGCAAGGGCGACTTCTTCGGCGAAAAAGCTCTTCAAGGGTATTTTTTTTTTTATTTTTCATTATGTATTGAAGCATTAATCTTTTTTTTTTTTTCTTTTTTTTTTTTTTTTTTTTTTTTTTTTTTTTTTTTTTCGTAGGCGGTTAATCCCTTCGCTCGTCATTCACATCCAATTATCGTTTTTATTGCCTTTAGAATTCTTGTCATTGTTAATCTGCATTTACTTTTACTGATATGCTGTCTCAAGTATTTAAATTAAGTTTATTAGGCAAATGTGTTAGGCGCGCGGAACGATAAATACGCGATGGTAATTAGGGAGATTAAGCGCGAAAAGTTTTAATAACGGTGTTATGAGACATACAAGATTAACAAAAATTGATATAACGTATCACGATAAATAACGTAAGATAATAGATTGAAAAGAGAAAGAAGCATGTTAGGATAAATGGAATAAAATTTATAACGATTAAAGACGACTTTATCTCTTATAAATCTTTAGCGCTTAATAGTCGTATATATTGTTTTTTTTGTTTTCAAATTAAATTACTTACTTTATTGAAAAGCAGATTTTTTAATTGTCATGTATGTTCAAATGTTGTTGGACAGTGATGATCTCAGGACGGCAAATATCATAGCAGATGACCCGGATGGAGTTTCCTGTCTCGTTATAGACAGAGAAACGTTCAATCAATTAATATCTTCTTTGGATGAAATTCGAATGCGCTACAAGGATGAACTAGTCGTACGCAGAAGGTAAATAAACATTGTTTTAATTAAATTCAGTTTAATTAAATGTATATTAACATAGAAGTAAATTTCGATCTTATAAAATGGCTCCTCTACTCCTATTTAACGTAATCCATGTTGTTTCATGCTTAACTAATGGATATGGACATAAGAGAAGCTGAAAAAGTAAGTCCTATTGGGTACTGTTTTTCTGCACGAATGTATTCATCGATATGATTTTTTATTTACGAATTAGTCCACTTTAATCGTTTATTTTATTTAAATTATTGTTATAGCAATGTATTTAATTTGACGCTACTCGTATTTAAATCTTACATTTTGCGAGACGTAATTATAAAAAAAAAAAAAAAAAAAAAATTAAATGGATTGTTATTTTTTTTTTTTGCACTTTTCATATATGTATATTTGAAATATAATTAAAAGCTTTTATAAGTAAAACATTTGACATACATGAGCGCAACGGTATTTTATTTTCTTAAAAGGCTATTTTCATTACAAGGACATTAAAAATATACATTGCTTCATATGTAAATATGCATTGAATTTATCAATTGTAGACTGTAATGAGCTTAAAATAAATAAAAGTAATCTAATGTACAATAGAGATGTGCATTTGAAAAATTTTTCATCGATGATTGATTAATTTTCATTGCCAAACAATAATAGCTTACAATTTTCTTCTAATAAATTACTAATATCTCCATATTATTTTATTAAGTTAAGAGCTATAATACTCATCTTTTAATTATGTCATTTAAAAAAAAAAAAAAAAAAAAAAAAAAAAAAAAAAACCGTCATTTTAATAATAATATGAGAATGTCGTTAAAGAGATTTTATAATGCTATTGGATATTATACATAACTATTTCAACTAAGATTGATAAATTTTTTTCAACATGCATATTGATGAGAGCCTTTCCATGTATATTTACACTTTATATTGGTATCATTAAGTCTCAATATTCTTTTAATGTAAAGCTTTTATTTATATGGTAAGTCACGAATTTTCCGATAATGTTCAATTTGAAATTACATGTAAAAATTCAGTACAAAATCATAAACATACAATACTATTTACAATTTATAGTATTTTATAAGACTTCTATTATTTAATAATGCAATATTCGATTAATTAGCTGCATAAAACAATATCATTTTATGATGTATTAATGATATTTCATGTATTTGTATTAATGTATTAGGTATTGTCGTATTAAATGTAATTTTTACAATTACAATTTACGAATCGAATAAAGCAGTATTTTAATTTCAAATTCTCTCAAAATCACAACCATTGCAGTGTAATATATTGTTTATCTTAACTCATTATCGTATACAATATTAGTAATTAACTTAGTCATTTGATGAAAATGTTGTTACTTAAAAAAAAACGTTGAAACGATTTGATATATCTGTCATAAGAATAAAAGTAAAGGGAATTTTACACTTTTCATTAATATTTGAAATTAAAATTAGGCTTTATTGGTGACGTTAATGTAAGTATTTTTGCTTAATATGTACACATTTGAAAATTGCTTATACAGTATTTACAAATATATGTTTTGTAATAAATATGTTTTATTTTTATTTACTTTTGTTTAGTTTCAATGTTTAGCAAAAAATAAATTATCCTCCAAAATGATTAAGTAAAAGATATTATCATGTAAAAATTGTTATTATGCAAAATATATGTTGTGTGTATTGTCTGCGTTAATGTCACTAAATCGTGTTATTTATGGGAATAATGAAAAAATTTTCGTCCATTATTCTTGGAAGAGAAATTGATTATGAAAATTGATTACAAAAGTAAATACGTAGTAGCTATTGTTTTTATAGTAAATCGTAAATATATTTATCGACGTGCTTGTTGCTGCATATTAGCAATTTTTTGTGTTTTTTTTTCTCTCTTTTTTTTTTTTTTTTTATCGATTATTTACTTGCCCCTTTGAAGCAAAAATGTTCTTATAATCGGGATTGTTTGAAATTGACAATTATATTCCATGACGAATCATTGGTCGGGAGTAGAATTTTTACTTTTGATTGTCTCATAATCGGGATAGTATTGGCAATACCCGAAGGCCCGATACAATTCTCGAGATGTCTGTAAAATTAATTCCGAGCATAGCAGTAACGAGCAAAAGAAATAGCCAACGAGATCGATTAAGTGGCAACTGAGCTTGTTAAATACAAAGCCTCCAATATCTCCAAGGCCTCTGCTAATTCTCGCTCGCTCTACCTCTTTCTCGGGCAGGTTGAACGAGGAGTTCCGTGAGCTGAGACTTCAGGACCTACGCTCTTTGGCGACGCTGGGCGTCGGTGGCTTCGGACGCGTGGAGCTCGTCCAAATAGCCGGCGACAACTCGCGATCCTTCGCCCTGAAGCAGATGAAGAAGGCGCAAATCGTCGAAACGCGACAACAGCAGCACATCATGTCGGAGAAGAGGATAATGGGCGAGGCCGACTGCGACTTCATTGTCAAGCTCTTCAAGACGTTCAAGGACCGCAAGTACCTGTACATGCTCATGGAGGCTTGTCTAGGAGGTGAGCTGTGGACGGTGCTAAGGGACAAGGGACACTTTGACGATCCCACGACGCGCTTCTACACGGCTTGCGTCGTCGAGGCTTTCGACTATCTTCATTCGCGCAATATCATATATAGGGATCTCAAGCCGGAGAACCTCCTACTCGACAGTCAAGGGTAAGAGACGATTGTGGTTACTTTTCGTTCGTGGTGTTGTCGAGGACTCCGATTCCTTACGCTTCGGTATACGCTTGACCGTTGTGCACGAGTGAACGTGCGAGGAGACATTGTTTTATTTGCGGCCAAAGGCAATAAACAGAAAAGGGGGGGGGGAGGAAACCTGCAATCGCTATAATATTGTGATATCTTAATATTTTAAATTACACTTTAATAGTTTTGGATTAACTAACTGTATTAACAGTGTTGCTTGAATTACGTAAATTTAAAAAATAAAAAATAAAACAAGTTGCGTGTATTTTTGCTTGTTGATTAAATAAATTGTGACACAAAAAGGGTATGTAACAGGTATAAAAGGCAAGAGCTCTTGGTTATTATTCGTTATTTTTAATATTATCTCGTATATATTAAGTTTTTATAGGCCGTCGTAGCGCACGTCGAGGAACCAAGACTCGAAGATTAAAATTCGTGCACCTATCTCTAAGATTGAAAATTATTATTTAAACCTCGCAGCCAGTTGCTAACCACTTTTAAATAAATAATAAAAAATTATACGTAGTTTTTACATTGCTAAAAGCAAAGAGGGAAAAGAAATCATTGGCCCGAATACGCGATAGCTTAAAATTTCGTTTAACCGGTTGGATTTCAATTTAAAAACGACATCTTTCGACAAACTGCTCTCTCTCTCTCTCTCTCTCTCTCTCTCTCTCTCCCTCCCGATTACGCATTTCCATTTAATAAGCAACAATCCACTCGTCCCTCTTTTTAAAATGGCCCTTCGTTCGTTTGTATTCAAGAGCTTATAATCCACGTCACCTCCTCCCGACATTTCAATAATTCAAGCTTCGTTTCAGATACGTAAAACTTGTAGATTTTGGTTTTGCCAAACGACTTGAGCACGGCAGGAAAACATGGACCTTCTGTGGCACTCCGGAGTACGTAGCTCCAGAGGTTATTCTCAATAGAGGGCACGATATTAGCGCCGATTACTGGTCACTCGGTGTCCTCATGTTCGAACTACTCACCGGAACTCCTCCATTTACCGGAGCAGATCCTATGAAAACTTATAATATAATTTTGAAAGGAATCGACGCCATCGAGTTCCCGCGAACAATAACGCGCAATGCTACTGTCCTCATCAAAAAGCTTTGCAGGTAATAAAATTTTGTTACAATTGCATTGATTTTCTATATTGTTGAATAGCTTATTATTGATAATAATGATAATGATAATGAATAATATGTGAATTCGTTTCAGAGATAATCCAGCGGAACGTCTTGGTTACCAAAAAGGAGGCATTAGTGAAATTCAAAAGCACAAGTAATTCAATGTGAATTATAATTAATAAAAGCTCCGTCCAAGATTCAAGTGCCTGTCGCTTATCGTTATCGCCAAAGCATATTTAATCTCGCGCTTTATCCAACTGCGAACTAAAACTTCGTGACAAATATTAATGATAAATTAATCGCGAGCACGGCGATGCGCTTCTCTTGTGAAATTAGCGAGCTTATGTCAAGCGTTGATATTGCAATATTAATTCGCTCGTTAATCGATTGTTTTCAGGTGGTTCGATGGATTTAATTGGGAGGGCCTGAGAGCAAGAACGCTGGAGCCTCCGATAATGCCAAAAGTTTTAAGTCCTGTGGATACGACGAATTTCGACGAGTATCCGCCAGATGCGGATACACCGCCACCAGACGACGTATCTGGATGGGATAATGATTTTTAACATCAGGGATCGAACGAAACGCCTTTACGGCTGTTGGAAATCTATTTTTGTATTCGTCGCCAGCGCATCCGCGGGACGGACAAATAATATTTTTATAATTGACAAATGTTGGCCTCTGGAACAAGGCTCAACTGTTGTAGATTCATGAAATGATGTCATAAACAGCGATCCAAAATAATCTTCATTTTTGATAATTTATTTGTCCAAGATCTCAAAATGAAGAATTCTCGGACCACTGTTTACCACTGTCGCTTATTTTTAGGGAAGAAATTATTAAATTTTACTCGAAAACGTATTACAAAATGCACAATGTTATTGCGTATAGTAATTTTTAATAGGAACCAAGGAACGAGCCCGTTATGAATAATGGGCATGACGTTACTGTGAAACATGCAGTGATGAATCAATTGTAAAATCATAAAAGAATTTGTTGATAATTTTTTAATACCGATAATTGCATTGCACCAATAAATGTGAAGGAATTTTCCGAACATTTATATTTTTCAAATTGTATGTTAATGTTCAAGTCATGTTGTACGAATGATAGTCCTCGTGTTAGAGTGCATTTGAACGAAACAAATTCCTGGCTTGATTAGGTTTTTACATATTGCGAGACGTATGCCAGTGCGCCAAGTGCCATTACTGTACACATTTTGTGAATCAATGATACCGTTTCACCCACATACACGTACATGTAAAATATAAACGGCTTAAAAAATTCTCTTGCCATTCGTGTTGCAATTTACTATAAACTTGTCAAAAACGGCCTGCATCGAGCAATTATGCTTTAATGTATAGGTCGTTTTAAATAATATTGTTGTTTGATTCGTTTTATAGTTTATTACGATAATTTTATTTAAAGAAAAAAGGAAGAAAAAAAAACTTTTACAAGAAAGTAAATCATGTAAATAATTTTAGGAATATTTTTAGAAATATACAAGGCATATGATATATATATATATATATATATATATATATATATATATCAATATTAAAATTAATTTTATTAATATTACACAATTGTTCTTTTACGTTTTATTTATAAAAATATCTATTTGTTAATTCCCATGAAATTTCATCATTTTTAACCATCGGTAAAAGCAAAATGTTTAATTTCATAAAAAGGACATTATAAAACTACAAGATTTTTGTAATAGAGTGAAGCTGTAGGTTTTTGCTGAGCATTGCAGAAAAATTTGTGTAATGAATAAAAATAAATTGTGTAATGAAATTGCGTTAGGGAAGCATAATTTATTATTATGTTTTTCCGAATTTTTAAGATAATGAACAAACTGTGTCAAATACTATCTACGAATTTCATTGTTAATCAAGGAGAGATAAAAGTTCATTAAAACAGAATGTACAAAAGATTTTTAAAATAGTTAAATAATATGATAAAGTACGAAAATGTATCGTTCAGCTTTTATAATAAAATATAATAAAATAATGATTTTTCCAAAAACGTGGAAGAGTCAATGGAGGAAAGAATTACTAAATTTTGAAAATTGTTTCACATATAAATCACAGAATTGAAAATAAAGATATTAAAGATGTGCCTAAACTATGCAAAGTATAAAAAATTATTTCAATTTTAAAATAATCTGTATATTTTTGTTTTGTTTTATTGGTTGTGTGTGTGTGTGTGCGTGCGTGCGTGTGTTTTTCAATTAAATACCGAATATGATTTATACAACTTAATATCAAATAATTATAAAAAAATATATAAAGAATAATTTCAGTATTCCTGAATTTTATAAATTCGTAATTATCGTTTACTGCAAAATAATTGCGTTGAAGTTTATTAAATGAGAAATAATTTATAAACAATATTAGAAAACATTTTTAAATAATAAAAATATTTTATTAAAAAATTTATAAAATCTTAAATGTTATAAATTTCAAGTGACATTTTTTTATTTTTTTTTTTTATTCTACAATAATGATACAAATTAGCCCATCAAGTGTCATAAAAACTATTTTTTTCTTTTTTCATAAAGAAAATTAATTACATAATATTATTAATCAAATGCTTTTGCCTGTAATCACATTTTAAGCATAAACGACTTTATAATATAAATGTTATAGTTTAACAATGCGTCTCAAATTTCTCAAATGAAATTATTTTTATATCGCATTTAATAATTAATCTTCTACGTATATAACAAAACCAAGGATGGTGAAGAGATAAAAAAAATGTAAGTATTAAATTTGTAAATAATATTTATAATTCATCCTCCATTAAATTTTTGTAAATTAATATTATTCATTATTCTTTATTAATTTATTTGCATTTTTTTTTATCATTTATCATTAATTTAATAATATAATACAAATAAAATTCATTTTACAATAATGCTATTGCAAACATTAACTTGCTCGGCTTAATAGACGTTTTTACAAACTTAAATTTCGCGCGCAAGCGAAATTTTAGTTCAATGTTCGGCCGCTGATTTAGCGAATTTAACTCCATTCTTGATCTGATGATTGATGTTACAAAGTTTAGCCTAATAGTAGTTTTTATAGTTTTTCTCTTTGCCTAAAGTTTATGCATTTATAAATAAAAGTATGGTAGTTTATTTTATAACTTTCTAAAATACACATATAAATTATATATTTATATATATATATATATATATATATGCGCTCGTGTGTGTGTGTGTGTGTGCGCATTTATGCATGCATATATATATATATATATATATATATATATAAATATTTAAAAAGTAGTTAATAAAACCATTTTTTGTAATGTCTTTAGCAAGGTAATGTGAAATATTTTTTTTATACTTTTATTCATATACATTGTATTTATGCATATATTCTTTTTTATTTTTTGTTTAACAAAGGGACTTTTTTGCTTTGTGTAAATAATGGAATATAAATTTAATTAAAAACTCGTTTTGTATAACTTTTAAATTACTAAACATTTAAATAATCAAAGTAGTTGTATCATACAATTTCAAGCGTTTGTTTTAATTTCAAGAATGCAAATTTGTGTATGTTCATTTATTGTTAAACTAGTTTACGAGAAAACATAAGTTAAAATTACTCATTCAACAACTATTTTTTATTTGAAGCTTGCTTCGATCGCTATTCGATTGTATTCACATTATTTAATAATAATAATTGTTCTTATATACTTTATATTAAATCCATATTTATATAAATGTATTGCGAATAAACAAACAAAAATCCAGTTTTATAATTTAAGTATAATATTTTGTCATACTTAACAAAATGTTTTACTTATAATTTCATAAAGTACAGATATAACTGTTGATCATATTTTTTATATAATTTTTATTCCATAGTTTCATAATTCTAAAGATTATAGATATTTAATAATATATTTCAGTCTACTACCTCACCCTACTCAAGTAGTTTGGGATAGAGAAGACGAGGCTAGGGAAGCGAAACTTCGACAGAGACCGGTTTCAGCGTTAGTAAAAGCGGTCGTAAGTGCTCCTCCTTATGGTCAGCGTAAAGGATGGGTGCCAAGAAACGAAGAAGATTTTGGAGATGGTGGCTCATTTCCAGAAATTCACGTTGCTCAATATCCGCTTGGAATGGGAGCAAAAGGCAAAGAAACCACGAGTAATGCACTTGCGATACAACTTGATTCTCAAGGGAAGGTTAAGTATGATCTTATAGCTCGTCAAGGTCATTCAAAAGATAAGATAGTTTATAGCAAACTAACCGACCTACTGCCGTCCGAAATTTTGACCGAAGACGATCCGAGCTTACAAAAGCCATCTGAAGAAGAGGCGGAAGAAACAACGGAGAGGACAAAAAAAGCTTTGGAAAAGATTATCGAATCAAAAATTGCTGCTGCAATGCCAGTGAGGCGAGCTGAAAAGCAAGGACCTGCGCAATATATTAGATATACGCCATCTCAACAAGGTCAATCATTTAATTCTGGAGCTAAGCAAAGAGTTATTAGAATGGTAGAAGCGCAAGTAGATCCCATGGAACCACCAAAGTTCAAAATCAATAAGAAAATCCCAAGAGGGCCGCCTTCTCCTCCTGCACCCGTAATGCATTCGCCAACTAGAAAAGTTACAGTGAAAGAGCAAAAGGAATGGAAAATACCTCCTTGTATAAGTAATTGGAAAAACGCCAAGGGCTATACCATACCCCTTGACAAACGTTTAGCAGCCGATGGACGAGGATTACAGCAGGTTCACATTAATGAAAATTTTGCAAAACTAGCGGAAGCTCTTTATATTGCTGATAGAAAAGCAAGAGAAGCTGTAGAAATGAGAGCACAATTAGAGAAGAAATTGGCTCAAAAGGAGAAGGAGAAGAAGGAGGACCATTTGAGGCAACTTGCTGAGAAAGCAAGAAACGAACGCGCAGGATTAAAATCAGCAGCCATTTTAGGTATGCGATAAGCAGTTGTCCACCGTAATTCAATAATTCTTTAAATTTTATAACCTTTATATTGTAGTATAAATGTCACGCAATGGCATTGACACCTAATGTTGATATCAATTATTATGTAGCATAATTTATTGCTATCTATCAGGTTACAAATTCTTGGGGATAATCGAATTATTGCTTATAATTTCAGATAAAAATGAAGAAATTCGTGAAAGAGATCAGTTGAGGCAGGAACGGCACAAAGATCGTGCACGTGAACGTAATTTAGCCCGAGCTGCTCCAGATAAGAGATCGCGTCTTCAACGAGAGCGCGAGAGAGATATTAGTGAACAAATTGCTCTGGGCATGCCAGCAAAGAACGTTAATACTACGGGTGATCAAGCCTTCGATCAGAGATTATTCAATACAACTAAAGGTATGGACAGTGGTTATGGTCATGACGACGAGTACAATGTATACGACAAGCCTTGGCGAGATGGAAATTCGATTGGTTCACATATTTATCGCCCGAGTAAGAACATCGATCAAGATAATTACGGCGAAGACTTGGAAAAACTTAAAACAACAAACAGGTTAGTAATTGCTTACATATTACCTCGCATATATTTCTACTGCATACGATTCTCATGATTAACTAACTGTAATAAAAGTTATATTATATCAAGTACATTGTAATGCTAAATATTACAATTTATTATTGAAACAATACAATCCAATTTTCGTAAATAGTGCATATAAAGCTGTAATTATAAAATCCCTTCCGCTAGATTTGTGCCCGATAAGGAATTCAGCGGAACAGACAGAACTGGTGCGGCTCGCTCTGGACCTGTTCAGTTTGAGAAAGAAGAAGAAGATCCGTTCGGACTGGATCAATTCTTGAAACAGGCTAAAAGAGCTAGTAGCACTACAACGGCTACCTCGACAAAACGAAAAGATGATCGTGAGCCAAGAAAAGATGATCGGGATAAGCGAAGAAAGCATTAGCTTGTCTAAGAACTTAACCATTTCAAGTTGCTCTATTACTACAATGCAATGCTTCGACTATGTTAAAATAGCATTATTAAAAAAGTTACTGGATTGACTCGGAAGATGAAAAAAGATATTTTTTGCGAAATAATTGAGTTTTTGAATATTGTGCAATTGCAATATTAAAATTTTAGTTCAATGACCGATATTACATCCAATTGAAATGTTCATCAAAAGTATGTTATTATGTAAAAATAGCTCACTTATAGTTTGCAAATTTAAAATAAATTTATCCATAAAATTGACATTAAAAAACATAGTAATTATTTGAAAATATTAGAAGGCAATAGTTAAAAAAATTTTTTGCAGCTCAACTTAACCTAGTAAGTTACAATTTCGTCTCATTTTTAATAATGTATATAACAACTGAATAAATAAATCATTCCATTCGTTTGTATTGGAACAAAAAAAATATCTCTTGAAATTCAACTTCATATACCGAAGTACAGGCGATCTCGCAAGCGTGAATTCTGAATAAGCAAGTAATGCACTCTTGCAAAGATTGTTTATCGTCTAAAAATATCATGCACAATATTAACAATAGAATATTGAAATTGATATTTATGAACTTTCGAAATATAATAATTGCCAGGATTAATAATCGAATGCGGTGTCATTAATTTTACAGAGCAATTTCATATTATTTCATTCTATTTAGCTACATCATGTTATTTAGGGTGATAGAAAAAATAAAAATTCAAATTGATTTTTATTTAAATAACATTAACATACATAAACATTTATACACTTTTTTTAATAAATTTATATTTAATCAGATTTTAGATTTTTTTGCTTTATTTTCAATAATGTGTGTGCTTAAGCATGTGTTTATACATGCGTATATAATGGTAGTTTTAATGGTATAAAATTTCTTACAATTAATTCTGAGCAAGAAACTCAAGATTACAAATACATTTAAAGAAATAAGCTACATATAAGCTTGTCCCTTATTTTCCATATTTATTCTAATGCATTTAGACATTCAGTTTCTCTATCATTGCGATTACCCGAAAATACTTGTATCTTTTTCCCTAAAATAAACTGAATATTGAGGAAAAATGTGCTTTTTTAATATAACTATTATGATTAAATAATGCAAATAATAATTAATTCGTCGAGTGCAGATCTGCCGAATCATTATGACAGAATCGATCCTGTTTTATACGACAAAAAAAGTATAATAATACTATAACACATTATTATTATTACATGTAAATAATACATACAAGTTCAAGTGTATTGTTATTGTGAGTACAAATTTTGTTAATGTAATTCGATAATTATCCTTATCCCCTGAAATATTAATTATAATAAACGTAAGCATTAAGATCCCGTCGAATTTCTATACTTAAACGAAGATTTTCATAATATAAGTCCAGTGTTGTTTACCTAAATTAACATAAAGTTCCTCAATACACCAGAAATCATAGTAAAACGAATAATAATAAGATAAGAATTTCATTTTATTTTCTCCTCATTGTCTTTTAATAATATCTTGCAAGCCTTATAAATATTACTCTGTTACACCCTGTACGATTTTATAAGGGAATCTCGGTAAAACAACAATTGATCCTACCATTCGAAATCTTATAGGAATTAATAAGAAATCTTTTAATGGCCTTGCATACTTGTAAATATCATCGTTGAATGATCGAGACTAGCACTCGTCGCAAGCGCGAATTACAAATGAATAAATAACTAACTGCATACGTTGGATTTATCAATAAACAAACAAACAAACAAACAAACAAACAAACAAACAAAAAAATAAATAATAAAATAAAAAGGAGATCGACTGTAAAGAGGAGCAGCCAGAATAAAAAATCCAAAATAGGAGATTAAGAGAATTGAGACGATCGTTGTAAATTACTGTAAGCTACTTTTAAATTATTGCCTTTTCGTAGCTTTTGCACGAATTGCAAGAATGGCTTTTGCCTCCCATCGATCGATCACTCAAGATGATCAAGCACATCGATCGAATAAAACAAGGCACTAACACTAGCAGTGTTGACACTAGAAGTTGGTAGTGGGAAGTACGAGAGTAAAGAGTAATTCGTCGATCGTTGAATTTCATCGGCTCTTTCTTAAGAATTCATCTTTTGAGTGAGAAAATAATAATCGAACGTATGAATAACAAAGAGGGAAACGAAATTTTGGAGATTGAAGGAGAGACTAGTGGACTTTGTCTTCCTCGTTCTTTACGTTGATTCGCTTCCAAAATGCGCTTAATCGATCGACGCCTCCTCGGTACCGACACAGTTTCACCACTTCCTTTCAGAACAGAACAGAACAGAATTTCAGCGCTTCCTCGAGCACGCTTCCTCGCATTGAGTGCTGTTGTCTCTTATTTAGCCGCTGCCGAAGAGATGCATTTGCTTTTGAAAAGGTCCACGACCAGTCCAACCCAGTGATCAAACAACGATACTACGTCGAAGAAATATTGTAATGGTAGTATGGATTGTTCGCGTGATGTGTCATGTTTTCGATATGAAGAAGAGGGTTTATTCTATTAGAAAGAGAAAAAATTATAGAGAGTCGATCGATTAAGTTGGATTATCAGGAGAATCGACGAGATAAGCGAGATTTCTCGCATCAAGCAGGTTTTTAAGTCGAAAATTCAAATTTTCCATGACTGCATTGCCAATTGAATCAACAATTTATCATTAACAATTTGATGATATCTACTACTTAGTAGTAGATTTTAAATCTCAAATGTGTCTTTAAGAGCGATAATGATGCTTTATGAAATAGGAATATTACCGGGTGATTGATGAAATTGTACTACACTACCTTATCGTACTACTTTAACACGATCGGTCGCCCAAGTTTTTCCCGATTTTCTCTAACAATAAGCTGGACGCTGATTGGTTGTTTTCCATATTGCTTCTCCCTCTATCGCACTTTTCTTGTACCACTGCATTGTTTTCCTAAATTCACGTTTTATTTGATGTATCGAGCCGCGAACACGTTTTTAAATGGTTTATCGGGAATTTTTGTTGCGCGTTATTAAAGTAAATGGAGTGATAGCTGTTATTTCACATTATATAAATTTTATTTAACGAGTTAACGCGTTTGTGTACTGCGTATACTTTGCGCGTCCATGAAGTTTATGGAGATGTTTTTAAAATTTAGGGAGTACAATGCATGCGGCGTGAGATAATTGTTAATCATGTAATTTTATAATATATATTAATATATTATAATATATCTAATTCGATTAATCAAAATAAAGCTTACATTAAGAAAACTTTAAGAGAATTTTTAAGCTGCCCACTTGTTTTACATACGTGTGTTTTCTTGTATATATATATATATATATATATATGTGTGTGTGTGTGTGTGTGTGAATTAAGGTTAAAATATCACAATAGTTTATGTATTATATATCATGTTTAAAGAAGAGATAGCGTCCACTCCTCGGAAAACATGGAAGGAAACAAATCGCGAGCTTAAAGAACGTCGGAAAAAGTGGCGTGAAGAGCGTTTGATAAAGAAAGTATGTAATGAAGAGGTTATGAAAAATGAATTGAAGAAGGAGGCTGTCGAGGAAAGTGTGAATTTTAACGTTAGAAAAGTTTCTACAATAAGTATAGCCGTTCCAGGCTCTATCCTAGATAATGCCCAGTCACACGAATTGAGGACTTACGTTGCTGGACAGATAGCGAGAGCTGCATGTATTTACAAAGTGGATGAAATTATTGTTTATGACGATAAGGGTGAAATTAGTGAAAGCGAAAGGAAGAAATTAAAGGTTGACGGTGATTTAAAAGAGAGAAGACCCGGGTGCCTTCAACTGGCACGGATTCTTCAGTACCTAGAATGTCCGCAATATCTACGAAAATATTTTTTCCCCATCCATAATGATTTACAATACGCTGGTCTACTTAATCCATTGGATGCTCCACATCATCTCAGACAGCAGGATATAAGTTTATTTAGGGAAGGTGTAGTCACTAATAAGCCATTAAAAACTGGAAAGGGATCATTGGTTAGTAATTATTTGGAAAATTATTGCGCAACTTAAGATCGATGCTAAATATTTAATATTCGATATTTGTACGTTAAGTTTGTAATTGTTTCTATAGTTGCATAAATATTGATTGAAATTTATGCTTTTATTTAACAAAGATACGAGTGTAAACAAATATTCTTAAAGTCTCTGTTATATTTTGTAAGAAATTTTAGGGTGGACTTTGATAAAAAAAAAAAGTTTTGATAATTTAATAATTAAATGCAATTGTACCTTTTAATAAAGAGGATAAATTGAATAAGATCGAGCTGTCCAATAATGATTCAAGAATAATTAATTCCAATAATATAATAATAAAAGTAAATTTAACATGTTTCGCTAACTTGTAATAATTTTCAGATTAATGTCGGACTTTTGAACGATGTTAGAGTCGATAAAATTCTAACTAGCGGCTTGAGAGTCACGGTTAAAATTCCACCAAATCAAGAAAATCCTAAAAAACTAAAAGGCATTATCGTACCACCGACGTTACCAAGATCAGAGACTGGAATTTATTGGGGATACTCTGTTAAATTGGTATCCAGTTTTTCGGAAATTTTTGTTCAATGTTCGTATCCCGAAGGCTACGATATTTCAATAGGCACTTCGGATAAAGGAACTTCGATCGATAGCATAGCTTCGAGAAGTTTAAAATACAAGCATGCTTTAATTGTATTTGGTGGCTTATCTGGTATAGAAGAAGCTATCGAAGTCGATTCGAATCTCGATATCGACGATGCTTCTCTAGCTTTCAACGTGTACTTGAATACATGCCCTCAGCAAGGTTCCAGAACCATTAGGACGGAAGAAGCTATTCTATTAACACTCGCTGAACTAAGAACGAAGCTAGATCCAGAATATCAACTGGTAAATCAGCCACAATGTTCTCAAGAATCTAAGACTTTAAAATCTGATGACGATGTACCAGACGAATGTGAAACTTGAAACATAAATGAACTAAAATAACTTTTAAGAGTCATTATAAAAATAAATATTTAATAAAACTTGTACACAGTATATTTAACAATTAATAGTTACAAATATTATTTTCTAAAGCATTATTTACAGTACACTTCATATCGTTAATAACTTTAGCTGGATCGTTAGAATTTATTATCGCTGTACCGGACACAATCATATTAGCACCAGCCTGAAGATATAATTAAAATCAATATAAGAAATGAGGGATTGTTCGTTAGCCTTTGTATAAATTAACTTACTTTGGCACAAGCATTAATGGTAGTTGGTCCTACTCCTCCATCCACTTCTATATCTAAATCAGGATAATTATCTCTTAACCAAGACACCTTGCTCATCATAGATTCCATAAATTTTTGTCCCCCAAAACCTGGCTCTACCGTCATTATCAAAACCATGTCAACTTGATCGATATATTCTGTAATAAAATTAGCAGCTGTCCCTGGTTTTAAAGCTATGCCAACCTTCGAGTAAAAAGGATAAATGTAAATTTAGCCGTACAGTTGTACGATATGGACCGTCGTTAGAGAGAAGGGAAGATATGAAATTACCTTCATACCAGCTTCTCGAACTTTTCGACAAATTAATGGAACATTTTGTACAGGTTCCACATGAAAAGTGTATTGATTTACACCAGCGTCGGCCATCGGCTCGATCCACTAAAATACAAAATCAACATTAACAGCACTGCCAAATAAATTTGTAAAATCTTGAATATTTTTTAAAGAATTCTTTTTACAAAATCTATTATTTTTCTATAGTTTTGACAATTTCATTGTTTTTTTTTTTTTTTTTTTTTACATGAATTTTATGACAAAAAGTATGGATTACAAAACTCTTCGAGTCTCTTAAATTGACAAAATTGAAAAATAAATTAACTTTATGGGCTTGCATGAATGAACGAGTAAACGTTGAAACATATTCCAACAAATTATTTAAAATATAAGTTATATTATATTTCGTTATCATTGATTAGCATATATATTATGAAATATCAACAAATTAAGAAATTATAGATAATGTGAACGTATCAACATAGGTTTACAAGAAATTTTATAAATTTTGAATTGCCAAACTTTAAAAGTATTTTCCATTACAACGTTAAAAATATCAATACGCGGTAATCTTTACATAAATCCAAATGCGTTAAAATAATCATTTTTATCGTAAAGCTACGATAATAAACATAGAAATGGGAAGAGGCGACAGCCTCTTATATTACAGACGTTATACACGAGCAAATTGTTAATCACTTGTTTCGGATTTGAAACCATCATGTGCGTTTCAAAGAAGGCATCTTTGATTTTTGATCGAAGACACTTGACTAAAGGATGACCGAAAGTAAGATTGGGAACAAAATGTCCGTCCATGACATCGAGATGAAGATAGTCAGCACCGCTATCCAGGAGTCGTTGTGACTCCTCGCTGAGTTGTGACAGATCGGCATTGAGGATGGAAGGGCCGATTTTGGCAGTTAAGCTCCTAGGCATTGTAATCGTGGCCAGACAACTCCAAACCTAAGCAACGAGAACTGATAATATATTTTGCCGAATAGCAATCAATCGCAATCCGTTAACATTTCACTAAAATTTCCTGCATTTATCCTGATATATATAAATATATAATTAATGCCTATCAATGGCCTATCTTGCTTGAATAATCAATAATACGTCGTGTGAGTTGATTCGATTAGACGATTACGATAAGAAAAAATAATTTTAAACCAGCAAAACTTCTGATTTTGCATTAGCGCTTATCGTGTATCGTGACCTGTCAATCCCGTAACTTACACGAAAGTTATCCCGTCAAAATTTAATTGCTAACATGAAGTCGAATTGTAAAAGATAACCAAGCAAAACATTATTATTAGAGTTTGGATTAATTTTCTTGCGACAATGTCATACTCGCAACTTTCGTTAAAATCAGGTTTTCCACGAGCTACGCTTGCTAATGGAATTGGACGTTACATAGGCCAGTTGCAAAGGGTCACTTTGAAATTCTGTAAAAATCACGGCGCAAGTAGGGGGATACGGTGAGAACGTTTTTTATTCAACATTGTTTAAAAGATCATATATATTTTGACATAATTTCATTTTTATGCAACTAATTATTATTATTAATATATATATATATATATATCAATGCCTAACAAGTATACATAAAATTTACATTATTTAAATAATTGAAACTATGAGACCATTACACACACACACACACACACACACACATATATATACACATTTATTTATTATTATCATTTGTTTTCTTTCATTATAGGCTTATTAATATTATACAGAATAATTATAAAATAAGCATTTTTTTTAATTATTGCCGAGCTTAATTCATAGAATGAAAGGAAATGTATGTGAACTTATATTTGTATTTATTTATTTTCTATTACAAAATCATAACATCTTATTAAATTTGATACAAATTTCAGTTCTACGCTAACTTTTTATTAATTTATGCATTTTTAAATGATATTCGTGTTTTTAGAATTTCTGTAAATATAAACTAAAAGTAATCGAATATTTGTAATAAAATAATTATTTTATAATTTCAGTGATTTTATAGAATATGATCTTATAAATTATGCCAAAGAAAATCCTGGGGTTGTCGTGTATGTCAAACCTAGAAGACATCGTGGTCCCGTTATTAAAGCTGAATATCGTAAGAAATATTTATTGCAATTACTTTTTGATATTTGTGTACTTTGTCCAATTAAATTATAGCGATACTTATATATCTTATATCCTACGGTTGTCTATGTTATGCGCGCAATTATGATTTTATGTCGAATAGATTTGTATTTAATATAATTTGTAGTTAATGGTCAAACCCACTGGATTTGTTGCCGTAAATTTAGTCGAGAAGATATTATAAAGTACATGGAGCTTGTACGTACGCAATCTTTTGACGGCTCTACTTTACGATTAAGAAAATTCTGGCATACAGAATTTCCATCTATTCAAGGCCCCTGGACACCTTTCACATTTCGAGATCCAAAATTAAATATCACCGAATTTCCAAATGTAAGATACGCATATTAATTATGTACATCGCCTTACTCATTAATAATTTCAATATTCAAAAATTATAGGCTGAGCTTGGAAAGTGCATAAAAACTGAACCAACTGCAACAGAAGAGATTATTGAATTATTTAAAAAACAGCAAATAGAAGAAAAATCTATTGCACAATTAGAAGAATAGAGCAAAGTAATTCATCGATAACATTTTAGGAACATTGTAATCCATTGTAATTATATCTGTTAATATATTCATATTAAATCATATAATATGTATTATACATTTGTACACTTAATGACTATAAGAAATATATGTTATTTAAAATAATAATTTCTCTTTATTATGTTTACCAATCAATACAAAATAAATGTTAATCAAACTAATGAACAATATTGTAACATTCAATGTCATTATTTTATATTTTATTTTCACAGTATTTTAATTATAAAAACTTTTTAAAGAAGTATTTGTCTCTCTTTGAACGTGTGTTCGAAAGAAAAAAACGAGTAAATAAGGAAGTCATTGAAAAAATTACTTTCAAAATTGGATGCAAAACTGTGACTAGTCTGTTGTTTTACGTACCATAATATAGTTACACTGAAATGCTATTTTTTAGTTAAATTTTCAAGACAAGCATTAAAAGACTAAAATCTACTAGAAAAATATATCCTCATAGTTTATTCTTAAAAAATATATGAGTAAATGTATATAATTCATGTATGCTTGTTTTTCAATTTTTCTTACAAAACCTAAAACCTAAGAAATTACTTCTAAAAGTTTACGAATTTAATGACCATCATCTATCTACATTTAATATGCGAAAAAATTATTCGCTTTCATTAATTTAAAAAAAAAAAAAAAAAAAAAAAAAAAAAAAAAAAAAAAAAAAAAAAAAATTAAAAAAAATTTAAAAAAAAAATAAAAGGACACCTGTCAAAAGCAATTTTTGGCTGTAGTGGTAACAAAAAACAGCATCAGATAACTTCGAAATATTATCAAAGTTAAAAAAAGGAAAGAAAAACAGTTACCGATGCCAAATAAATAAAATTAATTTATTTATAAATACTTTTTTAACTTTAAAAAAGAAAAGAAAAAAAAGACAGACGTCTTAATCAACCTAAAGAAACGTGTATTTTATATTAAAAAATAATAATAATAAAAAAGTCTATGGATTTCATACTTTCTTAAATAATTATCATACATACTTAAAAAAAAAAAAAAAAAAAAAAAAAAAAAAAAAAAACTCAAAATAACTTTATATTTAAAAAATACACTCATTCAATCAGTCAAAAAATATGTGCACTGAATTAGCCAGTCAATCTCTCACACTAGTTTGATCATTACATTCATAAATGATTTTCACAGTTTTCAAAGTCTTTTTTAAAAAATTTATACATTTGAAAATTCTTGTTAAATGTCCATTGCAATGAACTGACAAGCAATCAAATAGATTAAGCTTCGAAATCGAAGCTATATATTGGTATTTTTATAATATTACATTAAGAATAGAAAAACTTGAGATTTTATTCAACTTTTAATCTTTTGCTGAACTCTTCCTGCTGCTTTTCTCGCCATTCTTTTTTCGGTTTCATCCTCTTCAACTGCCCGTCCCTAAAACATTAGGCATAATGAAATTTATTAAACAGTTATGAAAATCATTAAAGAAAAAAAAAAATCAAGTTATTTTGAAAGTATAATAAAGTCATTAATATTGCGCTCATTAGATATAAATAGTTCAAGTGAGTTGAAAGGTAAACTCGACGTCACTTCAATTTTCTTTTCCTTGGAAATAAAGCGCTCATTACCATTGTAGATCAACGAGTCCTCCCTGCCTTGCGATCACCGATTTAACTCTATTCGCAAAATCTATAGCGCTCTCATCTTCCCTTCTGTACATTGGAGGTAGATACCACACGTCACAAACGATTGCCCAACTTGACATCATCATGTACAAATACTGAAGCATTGAAAATCTGTTGCTATTCCAAAATGCATCACCAAAACGTGGGTCATACTGTAACATTAAGAAGTTTTTGTTTTAATTAACGAATCCCTGTTAAATAAAAATATACGTGTCATCTGCATAGTGGACAAAAAAGTTATTCATTCGATAGATTAGATAAATTAGAGTATCCGTCGCTTCGACGGCTATTATCGATGCTTTAATCCCTAATTTTAACTCTATGATTATCAACCGTTCTTCGACCATTCATAAATAAGTCTAGTCTAAGTGTCTTGTCATCATAATATTATAAAACCTTCGCATTGCTTGAAAATTCATTATTATTATTATTATTATTATTATTATTATTATCATTATTATTATTATTATTATTATTATTATTATTATACCTTAATAGCGACTGGATAAATTACGCCGCCCACTTCGAAACTGCCTTTTTTAAATTGCATAACCGATGTATTATTAATACATGTCCCTTCTGGGAAAATAAGTATTGGAGGATTCTTTGGATCGGATATGTGCATTTTTAGCCTGAAACATATTCATTGTCAAAATGTTGAACTATGTGATTAGTTTATCATATAGTCTATACAAAATTGGCGATAATTACCTTTTTGTAACCGCTTCTCTGTCTTTAACTTCCGATCGCTCGAACCAAATGTGCGGCGATGCTCGAGCAAGGGCTCTTTGTAAAATGCCCAAAAAACCGCCATGTCGTTGTCCAATCTATTAAACGATCGCAAAGTACTTTTCATTCTTCGCATTAAGTTTGAGAATTTATAAATGAAAATAGTCTCAATATCATTGGAATTTATAATAAAATTTGGAAAATGTTAATTACCAGATTATCATTACAATTGTCATATAAATTTTAATAGCTAACGCGACAATTGCACGTCTCAAAAAAATAACACCCCCATCTGAATGGTATTTTTTCTTATTTATTTATTTATTTATTTATTTATAAAGTTTACCTTAAATTTTTTCGAATTTTCGAATATTTTTAACAAATTATTAACTCGTCAAATGACTATATTTAGTATAAAATCTCTGGATTACGAATAAACCTACTTGTGCCAGAATGCATTACACTATTGCGTACGTGCAAGCTAATATATTATGAAATTCGTTAAATAAAAAATTTACAAAAATTACGTAAGCAAATACAGACACGCATTATCTATAAACATAATTTAAGTATCAAACAATTATCATTGAATAAGAAAATAGTCCACTAGCAGGAAACAAAATTAAATTTTTTAATTATGATTTAAACATTTATACTCTTACTCCAGTATCACAATTTCCAATGATTTATAGCGACTATATAATATAATGAATATAGCCATGCAATTTATTATTTTTAGCATTAATTATTTAAGCGTATTACAACAATAATGCAACAGCAGCAAGCGTTTTATTATTTTGCCAGTTAAAATTTTTTTTTTTTATATAATATTTACATTTTATTAAATTACTTTTATAATAGTATCCGAACTTGTTGATAAGAATATAAATATAAATAAGACTATTAATATTATTAATTTTACAAATTTTAATTGATTAAAATCTCGTATGTATAACTGAATTATAATAATTTTTGTTTTTTACTTATTATACAATGTTCTGGAATAAATTTATTGTGAACAATATAACAGATCTGTATTGAATATATTTTTTACATCAATAAACATAATACAATGGAATACAATGTTTTCAGAGAGAGAAAAAAAAAACAACATAATCTAAATATTTTTAAATATAAAAGAGCATCTGCTATTGAATTGAAACAGTGGAATGAATTAATATTAATGATATTAGATCTAAAAGGCGAAACTACTGTAAGGTAAAGAGTATTAAATTAAAATTTTTCATGATCATAAAAGATAGCGAAAACTTGGTAGAAATTAGAAATTTGTAAAAAGTTTATTATAATATTTATATAATACTATGTATCCATATATATATATATATATAGTAAATTTAAAATAAAAAGAAAAAAAAAAAAACAATGTATCGAATTCAAATGTAGTACTTGTGCATTATTTAAGAGGTCGAGCTTTGAAGTTGTAATGGAATTTATATTTTTATATTAATGTTGACAGTGCGTGTAGGCACGAGAAAAAAATAAATAAAACTTAGCGATGTTTATGAGATTTTGTGAAGAAGCGGAGCGTGACGGAGAAACCGGAAGCCAAAGAAATGCATGGGCTAAGAAAAGTAGGGGTAGGTACGAGGGCAAAGCAAAAGAAAGCAATATGGAGGAGAGCCTACCAGGGAATAGCAATTGTCACACATAAGTACGAGGGCGTCGATGGGTGAGGTATGATTGGCCACGCAGATACCCGTCTTAGGCCTATTCTTGGAGTTGTGATAGGTAATGACCGACGATAAGGCGCTCGATAGCACGGCGAAGCACATTATCAAAACCCGCTGATTCAACCAACACTTGAATGGTCCGTCCGGTACATATCCAACAATCGCTGTGCAAAATGTCAGCCACATCACCTGTGTCACAAAATAAAGAAGCTCACTAACTACGTTTATGATTGAATATGTCAGCACGGTGTTGACACCTTACGCAACGAATCCGTATACGCGAGCTAATACCAAACACCGCTGTGTGCTAAACTCTCGTCCGTATTATTATTAAACAACTCGGATCGTTTGAGTCATCGGATGATAAGCATTGGGATTATTAAAGATGTCTTTCATTGCGATTTTCAGTCGTAATGGCGCGAAGTTATTGCATCACTTCATTAATTTCATTAATATTACTAGGATGGTTAATGAAGTCGCTGTCACCCCTTACCAATCAACATTGTCGAATAAAATGGAAACATAGTGGCGGCGCATTTGACAAAAACGAAAACTTATGATTCAATTAACATTTATTATTTGTAATACTTTTTTGTTTTTTGTTTTTTATTTTTACCAAAGAAAATGCCGTATTCGTAGATAAAATGCATACATCGATAGTGGATGTATGATTCGCTACGCAAATTCCAGTTGACTTGGGCTTATACTCAGGATTATGAATTGTAATTAAACTTGACAGCGATCTCGACATTATGCGAAAAAATATACGATTGGCGTAATCATTAGCCCATCTTTTTAACCAGCCATTTGGCAAAAATCCGATACTGAACGTCGAAATTATGAGGTAAAGTACCTATGGAAGCTGATCGTTAGTAAATTATCGGTAACAATTTGTAATTTTATATGCACAACATGAGCGACGTTGATTTTTTTAATAAGTACTTTGAATTACTCTCTTTCTCTCTCTCTCTCTCTCTCTCTCACACACACACACACACACACACACACGCACGCACGCACGCACGCACGCGCGCGCGCGCGCACGCACACACACAATAATTTTATTATTTTGTGTGTAATAATATAAATAATTTATTAATAATTGTATTTACGTTAAAGTACTTACGCCAACGAAACAAATGAGAATTCGCAAAGGTAAGAGAAAACAATATCTCATGAAAAAACCACACATCCATATGACAGTTAATTTCCAGGAAATGAACTCATAGCGTCTATTTGTTCTCGTTAAAAGATTCCAATTCTGTAAAGAATAAGTATTGAAATGCATTATTACGTCCGAATAATTAGTTAAAAGCTAAATACAGAGTATGCTTATATTTCAATTGTATTAACCTTCAGTTCTTCTGCTTCAAATCTAGAAGTTACATCATCTTCTATAATTGCTTCGATGCCAGCTCGAATGTATCCTAAACATATCGCAGGCTCAAATTCTCGTTTGAGTGTTTCGAAGGATTTTTTCCTTGATATGTCAGCCTGAAATTATTACAAGCATTTCACCTTTTCTCTCAATTACAGTTTAAAATTTTATAACCATTGAAAAATTATAAACTTATTATTCTAAATAATTGAACATAAATTACAGTATAATAAAATTATAATATTGCAATAATTATACTACACTATGGAAACAATTATTTTTCTATTTAAATGCGCATTAGAAATAGTTGCAAATTAATGGAGAATTTCAATTAAATTTACCTCTTTGCTTGCTTCAAGATGAAAATTATTTTTCTCTTTAGCTGCTTCATTCGTTAGCTCAGAATCTTCATTGTGATTCTGCATTTCCGGTTCAGGAACGAGAATCAAGTCTTTGGAACGCGCAATTACCGAATTACCAATTGCTCCATTCTGATTTTTCTTTTCATTTTTGCAAAAGCCAACAGTAGCATTTCCTTCAGTAATGTTCGGCAATTCTCCATCTTCGTCATCGCTATCGTACCCTTCGACAGTCCAGTTTCCATTTCGCTTTCTTACGTGTTCAATGTTTTGCCTGCCATACTGAAAACATTTCCAACGGGTAATTTGATATTATTCCTGTCGATTAAGTACTATTCATATTATATCGACGTATAGTCTATTAATTCTTATTAACTTGTGCATTATGTAGTATTTTCAATATAATTCATGATCGATAATTGATCGAATAATTATAAATGCGTCTCAAGCACATTTTATAATTCGAATATAAATAATTAAAATATAGCGTAAACATTTAGTGGCTCACATTAAAGATTTTTAAATGTCAGGTATCTTAACATATTTGAATATACATAGAATTCTCTTTACTTTCTGATTTTAAACAAATGACACGTGCAAATTTGTAACGGTTGATCATTAATCATTTGCTTAATCATTTTATTTATTGATCGCACGACACATTCGTTAAGCAAATTCATTCGTCGTTCGCTTTAAATGGTTAATCCAAGTAAATACTCTCCATACAAAAATTTTTCTATCGTAACTGCATTACAGACGAGAAAATCAAGTAGTATGCATTTACTATTTTATAATTAATAATTAAACTAATATTCTGATTAACGTAAATTTAACGATATTAATTAAATATATTAAAGTGAAAATAACGAAGTAAAAGTATCATTGTTAATGAAAGTAGTACATTATGCAGTAGCATGCATAGTATGTTACTTTGTGAAAAATTTGATCATATATATCTTTCTATAATATGTGCTGTTAGTTTTTCTATTGTAACGATTGAAAAAATATATCAGGTACCTAAGTTTCTAATGCTTAACTTATATCAAACGTAACATATAAGTTTCATAAGATAATATTTGTATATATATATATATATATATATATATATATATATTGCTCAACTATAACTTTTCAAAGGCGAACCATAAACTACAACCAATCATATCTACGGTTGAATGCTCTTATAAAAATAATACACAAAAAAGATATTAATTTTTCTTTGAATTTGACAATTTATAATTATCAAAAAAAAAAGAAGATAGTAAAAATGGACAATTAATTGTTTATTAAAATGAATAATTGAATTCTTACACTTTTTCGATATTTCAAAAGTTTATTTCAAATATTAGTCGCAATTGAGAATTATTAAAATTATAAAAAGTATTTTAAAAACTTTCGTTAAATAATAAATTTTTTTTTTGTATTATATTTATATGTATTACAGTAAATAAAAGAATAGCAATTAAAATGGGTTAAAATTGAAAATAAATAAATAGAACGACGCAGCAATAAGGAATACAATATATGAATTATTATTAATATATATTTAAATTTATCTGTTCAAATATTTATAAATTATTTATAATTTACATTTTACAATTAAATTTAGCATTCTCATCAATGTTTCAATAAATAGAGTTAATTCTATTTTAAATTACATTTTTTAATATTAATTGACATATAATCAAAGTTCAACGAGCTATTTCAATTTCAATTTAACATGTTTACTACTAATAATTTTTATATTTATACAATTTTTGATCATATATATTTATATTATTTTATCTGAAATATATTAAATTCTTGTTTTGATATTTTAAAATTTATATCAATATTAAAATTACCTATTTAATAATAAATATAAACAGGTCGTTAACAATTTTTGACATATTTAATCTCTTACGATTCGAAATAGAAATTTGAAATCAAATTCAAATCAAAACGTTTAAACAAATATTTTTATCAATTTAAATGAAGATGGTGTAACACATTCGCATTATGAATACAAATTAACTAATTTAAAATCAAAAAATAAAATTAAAATTAAAAAGTAAAAAATCATAAAATTTATTATATTTATATTTTATTCTTGTCTTGGTAGAAAAATATTACAGTTAAACTCATAAGTAAATGAACATTTATTAATTCACTTATAATTAAGTGTCGAAGTATCTTTTATAGAAATGATTATTTTAATAAATGTTGAATTTAAAAATGAAAAAAAATTCAGTAAATTTTTATACATATTTTAATATATACATACATACACACATACATAAACATTATTCTAGCATTTTATCAATTTTTTCTATATTATTTATAACTCAATAGATATTTATACATATATTTTTTATGTTGATAAAATTTTTGGATAAATTAAAGTCTCAATTCATTGTTGAAATAATTTATCGATTTAATATTTATAAATTCATAGTTGATATAATATATTACATTTAGTAGCGCTAATTTTAAATAATAATATTTTCAAATTAATCAGTAATTATCAAATAAATATCATTAATCAAACATTCATTTATTCGCTTTTTATAAAATAAATGCACCTAACCCAGTGTTTATGGAAATATTATTACATTAATAATAAGTAAAAAGTGATCATAACTGTAATTTTATAAAGTTCTCCAATATTTTCCAAACATTTTCAATGAAAGCTGATAACTTATATTACATTTCGTCCTGTATAAGAATTTTTAAACATAATTTGATTGTAATAATATATTATCACTATCATTACCACTAAACCAAGATTTTTTAGCTATAAAATAAACAAATGATATTACTTAATTTTACTTTAATTATTTCAATGTATAGAAGGAAATTTTTTTAAATAAAATTAAAAGTTAGAATATATTCATTATAATGGTACAAGTCAAAATTTGCTAGTTATATTAATTCAATATTATACAATTCATTAGTATGTTATTTTATATTGATAAATTAAAATAGGAAGCTTGTATCGCTACTTTTAATATTTAATAAATTAATTATTTTGTAATATAAGCAATATATTTAACACATTCCTTTATATGAAATTACAATTCAAAAATACCTCTAACAAAATTTCTTTAATTCCACATTATGTATTCATTGGTAGCTTTGATATACAATATATTTGCTGATTGAAATCTTAATCGATTGTACTAATTATTACGTACATTAAGTATTATTCAAAACATAAAATATTATAGAGTAAATTTCAATTGACATTCAAAATTTTTGATTTTGAAATTTTATTGTCGACATTATATACCTTATGCATTATTTATTTAGTGTAATTACCGTTCAAATACCATCTTGACAAATAACGTTGATTTTATTTTAAAATTGTTTTTTACATTGTAATTGAAAATTTACAATTTTTTCTTTGCAAGCCATAGCTATAAATTAGATACTGCACAACCAAGAAAATTAATATACTTTACGGATAATGTCAAAAAAAAATTTAACTTGCAATATTTAAACTATATAATTTTTAATCCTACATATAATAAACAATATATTATAATATCATATGACATTATGCATACAAAAACATGAAATATTATTATTTTCACAAAAGAGTTTTAATTAAAAAAGTATTCGATATTTATTATTTTAAAATCTTTATATAATTTGATCTTTATCTAGTAATTGCATATTTCATAACTTGGCATACATATTTTCCTTATCATTCCCGGATTTTTGATTATATCTTTATTCGATCATGATTTAAAATGGACATACTCTAATAACATCTAAATTGCATATTGCATAAGTCTGCTATAGAAATACCTAATTCTTATTTCTATTCGATAAAGAAATAAAATTATTCAAGTGAAATAAAAAAATATGCAATTTACACTTAATTTATAAATTTTATCAAGTTAAAGAAAAATATTCATCTAAACATTGTATGAATAAACAATGAGATGATATCAAAGAAATGAATTCTTGTTAACTAATATATCAATAACTAATTAATTACCATTTATATTTAATTTATCCTTTTGTAAAATTAAAAGATTCTTATTCTAGTTAACTTTTTTAAGCGAAAGCTCACAATATCATATATTTTATCAATTCACAATGTAATACTTAATGTGCGTCTTTTTCAGTTATTATTACGATTTTGTATCATAAAATTTATATTTATATATATATATATATATCAAGCCTTTTAGTAATTTTAAATATATATATATATATATATGTGTGTATTTTATTTTTTATTATTGTTATTATGTCATATATGTCGTCAAATGAATTTCGTACAGAAACTTATCTTCTAGCATATTATCACGTAAAATTTTGGAGATGTTTTATTAAAAAAGAAAGCTATATATGCCACTCGTGTCAACTTATCACATACTTTTCAAATCAAAATAATCTAAATTTTGTTATAGATGTAATTATTTAAAAAAGAAATTTTAATTACTAAATGAAGAAATTTAAGTTTTTTTGAATTTACAAAAAATAAAATGTTTTTTTATCGTAGATAAAATTTTTAGTTTATATTATATCTATAAAATATAAGAAAAATAAAATAAACGTATCTGCAAAACTCATGTTTTATAAAATGCCATATTACAAATTTTGTAGTCAATCTAGTGAAATATAAAATTAACAAAATTAACAATGTCAGTTGTCAGTCATATACAAAACTTTAAAATATTTATTATTATATTTCAGTTATAATTAACACACTATCAAATTTACATCCAAGTAAATATTACTTATATAATTGTTTGAAGCATGAAAAGATGATACATAAGTCATTTACAATTTGATAACAATACATCAGTTTTTTTAGAATTTTACTCTTATTAAATATAATATTGTAGATAGTTAATATATAAAATTGATGGCGATAATATTCTTATAGATTATCATTCTTAAGTAAAAGTTCTACCAACTTATCAAATACATAAGCATATATACGTTTGCAGACATACGCATCAATGCTTAATTAAAAATTAATTTTTATGAAAACAGACCTATAAAATAACAGAGATTCTAAAAAATCAATGAAGCGAAGCGTCAATGATTCATCTATAAGTTTTGTCATGTACGATCATAGCTGACTATACTGAATAATATAATTCATAAAACGATTACTTGTTCTTTACATTTATAATTTGATGGCTTTTAGTTTAGTCATTGCTTTAAATAAGAAATCTTTTCATTTTACGAATATTTACTTGATGAATATAAATGTTATAATAAAAATTATATTCAATATCCCAAATTTACCTTTTACAGTTATGGTTTTATAATTTTATTTAGTATTATTTTAACGTATAAACTAAATTGTTGCTCCGTTATTGCCCGATAAAAAATGCAATTTAAATTATCATTGTTTACTACTAATAATTGAAATAGCGCAGACCTTATTATTGGAAAATAAATTACAATAAAAACACAAGAAAAACACAATCTTGAACTTAATTTTAATATACAAAAATATTATAATGGTTTTTTCTTTTTTTTTTATCTAATTAAAGAATTTAATTGAAAAATTTAGTTTATACATTTTACAGTTTTGTACAATCAAACTTTTCCCGTCATAAATATTATACTAATTATATATACATGGGCGTTTCTTTGTGTGCGTATTTGTGTGCACATGTATATAAAAACAATAAATTATCAATACTACATATAATTTAAATATTATCTGAAATTTTTCAAACTTTAAAAATTAAATTTGTTTGCATTATCAATGAAATAATGAATAGGTTCGAACAATGTTAAATACGGGATTCGAGTATAATTACATAGTTTAGGTTTAGGATATATTTTTCAAAGTGTGGGAGAATTTCAATTCTTTTATTTAAAAAGTTAGTTGAATTAAGGGAATGACAATGCGCCTGGTAATATTTAACATGATTTTTATAATTTATGCTTTATTTAACTCGTTATAGCTCATTAATTTTGTTTATAATTCTATAAGAAAAATTAATCGTTCCTCATATTACATTATATAAATGCATATATTTTATTCCCTTTATATATATACGTATATACGTAAAATTATGATATTTTATTTCTGACTTCTTCAATTTTACATTTTTAGATACTTTATTGATATTTTGATAATACAAAGTTAAAATTCAATTATGTACAACAACAAATTTCAACTAAGTCTATGCTTTCTTTATAAGTACAAAATAGTAAAATTTTCAATAGCATTTCCATTCGATCAATTCGATGGAATGTAATTGCAACGAAAACTGATAATTTTTTTTAAGACTTTCGATAATTAGAAGAAAAGTATTAATATATAAACGAATACTGATGATCGTACTTATTGCGCAAAATATTAATTAAAAATTTAAATTAAAAATGATCTGAACTTTTAAAATTATCTTTAATATTTAATATCTAAGCATGTTGCATAAGTGTACAATATTCTATACTTGATTTTGTGATAATACAAGTTGCCGTTTAATAAGAAATCGGGTTAATACAAAAGAATTAAAAAAAAAATTTTAGTTTAATTGAAGCAATAATAAATACACAGTGGTCAATTTATGTAATATAATTATAAAATAACTATGTAACTCTTCTGAAGTAATTGACTCACATATTTTTGCAATAATTAATACAATTAACATAAAATATGTATAATAAAAAAATTGATTATGAAGCTTTTTTCGTGAATATCTAAAGTTGTAGAAATTATTACTTATTTTGCGATTTATTAAAGAAGTTGATTGGAATAAAATAAAATTGCGAAAAAGTAAAATAAGAATTTTTCTCATTCAATTTGATTCAAGCATAAATTTAAAGAAAAATGACTTTTTAAATTATTTATAAAACAAATTAAGCTTTTAAACACATTTATCATAATAATTAGTGATTCAATTTTTTATTTTAAGCTATGAAAATTTCAAAAGTTATGGTTTTTTAAATAAAATTTTGGCTCAAAAATTTGTCTAAAAGATCATTTCTATATGAACGAATATTTTTTCAAAAATAAAATGTAAAAATTGGAAAGAAAATATTGATCTGATTGCACTAAATAGAAAATGATAATCTAAACGACATATATTACACAATTCTTTTTTTACTTATTTAATTGTTGCTCTTTAATTTTAATTAAATTATGTCTTTATTTATATAAACGTATATCACTTTTATAAAAGGACCAATAATATAAATGTAAATCACCAAAATCTACATATAACACTAATAATAATATTATATTCGAATAAAAGTATTGAATTTTCATGAAAATTTAAAATCTCATTTAAACAGAAATTTATTTTAATTATATATTATATTTAAAAATTGACTAGTTTTGTAAATATTAGTATCATACATGTATCATCACACATTACAAATTGCTTACAAGAATGTAGGTTATAAAGATGAAAAAATTCAGGAAAATATTTTAATTAAATATAATTTTGTACAGTTGACAAAAAATTGTAAATTATACAATATAGTAGATGAGTTAAAGGTACAAAAAAAAAAAAATATATATATAAGAATGTTATGAAATGTATAGAATAAAATACTGTACAATATATTTAAAGTTTATGGTAGTTTTACGATTATTATTATTATTTTCAATTATTTAAAATTATGTTAACTTAAAAAATTATACTGTTAAAGTATATATGGAAGAGGAAGAAAAATTAAACGTAACATTTGTTAAATAATTGAAGTTCAATTTCCTTGTCATCTATGCTAATCTATTTAATTGTCGGAACTTCAAAAACTAACGACTATTAAGTGTTTTTTAGCTTTGATTCAATTGTAATTTATGATTTCATAAATTTTTTTATTAATAAATAACAATAAATATGTGTAATTCTTAGGTATATAATTATGGATTTAATAATGTATGTATAAATTTCATAGTAAATCAATTATATGAAAAATATAATATAATACAACCAAATCCACTGATTGCTTACATTGGGAATGCTAAAAATATTTGTATATTTAAATTTTTTAATTTGGTACTTAGATTCAGGAAATGAACTTTTATTTCATTGATTAAGCTTCTTTGTAGGGTTCATATTTATTACGTACATAAGCAGAAACAGAAAGGAAAGAAGAAAAGAAAGAAAAAATCAGTTTGTAAATATTTGCAAATCTTGAAATATTAAACTAAATGAAATCGATGCAAAATTAGGATGAGGTAAAACTGAAAATGAATCGAATTCCACTTGGCGTATGATAAATATAAAATGGCTCAGCTAGCTAGCTAGCTAGCACTCGTAAAATGATCAAAAGTAACAAAATAAATGACTAGAGTTCATTCGTTCATTCTTAAGGCCAAATAACATTTCCATATTAATTCCGATATGATGGAAAAATTGTATGCATAATTGTATGTATTATGTTTGGGCAGGTAATTTATCTATTTTATACGTCTGAAAATTATTTACCAACCTCGTATATCTACAACTCTTACACGTGTCAGTAAAAAAAAAAAACTCGGAAATACGGACGAGGTATCCTTAATGAAAGGAAAAGAAATCATGAACAATGTAGCGTAGCCGTATCAAACATAACAAACGCTCGGGTTTGTTAACACGAATATTGGGAGACTCTAAGGAAATTGAACTTGTGGCTGTATGAGGAAGGAAGGACGGAATAAATAATAATCGGGAATGAAGAAAGTAAAGGCCAAGTGCTCGTAATGGTAAACGGGGTGGGGAGCTCAGGGGCACCAGGAACGAAGTTTACGTTCTACGTTGTCGCTATAATAAGAAACTAACCTCGAAAAGCGCGAGCAGAAGCTTGATGTAGAGTCTCCGAACACCCAAGGACTTTCCTATCGAGGCCAAAAAAATAATCGACAGGAGGAACATCAGAAACGGCGTTAGAAGCAATGAGAATGCGACCGACACAATCGACCACAGCACAGCCATTTTGCAACTACAATCGCGTTTAAGCTGCTCGGATCTCCGAGCAACTATCGAGATATATATTCTTAACTTAAGCAACCACACAATGGATCTCTCGTCAACGAAAGAAGAAGATCACACGGCGTCGCAAGCGCAACTCACCGCTTACGGCGACGTGCGCGCCCACCGTTTGCTGCTTTCAGCAGCTTTGCTTCCTCCTCTGCATGCGCCTCCTCCAACAACATCTAAGGATGAATTTTATCTACACTCGTGTACCCAACACGCAGATGCGCAATAATGTAATGGGCAGGGGCGCAGGCGCGACCGGGATCTTTTCAAACAGCCCGCCTCCGACGTCCATTGCCGAGCTACATATCGGCTCTACCGCGAGGAGGGACATTCGGTTACGGCACGGTTACGGCACGGTTACGGCACGGTTACGGCTCGGATTCGGTGGTGTGCGTTGGATGGGGCAGGAGGGGCAGCTATGACGGACGGAGTGACGGGACGGACGGAGTGACGGCGGCGTGACGGATGGAGTGACGTAAGTAATGACGGCTTGGTGACGGACGGATGGAGTGACGTAAGTAGTGACGGCGTGGTGACGGACGGACCGTGGCTCGGTAGAAGCGGCGGCGGGTGCGATGAGGCGGCGAGGGGGTCGGGGAGAGCCGGAATAATACGGCTATTGGCAAACGGTATTCGCTTAGCCGTTTTTAGTGCAGTCGGTAAAATGGAGAGCGAGGCGATTATTAAATAATACGCCTTCTAATCGGTCCCATCGTCCTTCCAATTATTTATATTTAATCTCATCTATTTATTTCTATGATTTAGCATCAATGATTTTGTCGCTTTAGCGAATCCATTTCATTCGTCTCGTAAACACGATCTAAGAGGAATCACGAATCCGAGTACTTAGAGGGCGACGCTGCGAATTCTCATTTACATCCGTTGTTATACGCACGCAACATTCGTGTGACGAGCGTGCGCGCGCAAGAATATATACGCATACCCACGGTAAATGCATATGAGAGAGAGAGAGAGAGAGAGAGAGAGAGAGAGAGAGAGAGAGAGCAAATAGCAGATCTTGAGGAGTAGGGGGAAACAAATAGTGACTAGTCACGGCAAATTTCGAAAACGTCACCTACACAATTAAACGACAATCGACTAAAGAAAAATGTCGAATGTCTAAAAAGTTGGAGAGAAATTTCTTTATAATGAAATATTTATAGTCAATAGCGTATAATCCATATTCATTTTCATTCTGATTTAAGTCACATTTTCGTTAAGCAAAAAGATAAAAGCCATAATTTTGAAGAGGTCACAAACGGAATAATTTCGTGGGTGCCAAGGGTCACAAAGATAATTTAATTTAATTTTCAATATAACACTTGGGTGTAAGATAGGTAAACAAAAAAAAATAATGAAAACATTTATTCTTATTGTATTCAAAAAAAAAGAAAAAAAAAAAAAAAAAAATAAAAAAAAAATAATAAATCAATGCGATTAGAAAGCAATTAAAAACTATAAAAGTATGAAGAATGAAATGTAATTTCATCCTGATGGAAAAACGAATTTTAAATAATTCATAAGATTTTTCCGTATATAAAAAATAAAAGAAATAAAAAAAAAAAAAAAATATAATTAATTACAGTACGATGCACACACAATGTAAAATATGTATGGCGTTAAAAAAATAATTAAAGTAATATGTCACTTTATTAAATATATGCGCTTCCATGCAAATGCCGACTTAAGTTTAATTGTCTTATGAATGCTGTAATCTGTAATTATTTTTGAGGGCGAGAGAAAGATCGATGGGCCAAAGGCAATGAAAAGCGGTTGAATAATATACGAAGAGATGATGTTAATTAATAAAGGTACTTGTAAAATGCAGTAACTCGCTTCTCAAGCTCCACCCTGCCCATCAAGTATACTTACGGCCCTGTTCGCTGCTACTATGCTGCGCTACGTTTATCACCCCCTCCTCCAGGTCAGTTGGCGGCGGCTGTAGCGGTATTGGTGGCGGTGGTGGTGTCGGCGGCGACGGCGGCGATGGTGGCGATGGTGATGGTGATGGTGGTGGTGGTGGTAGCGGTGGTGGTAGCGGTGGTGGTAACGGTGGTGGTGGTGGTGGTAGTAGCGGCGGCGGCGGCGGTGGCGGTGGCGGTGGCGGTGGTGGTGGCGGTGGCGGTGGCGGCGGTGGCGGCGGCGGCGGCGGCGGCAGCGGCGGCGGCAGCGGCAGCGGTAGCGGCGGCGGCGGCGGTGGCGGCGCTCTCGCGCACTCAACAGATTGAGCCATTGAGGTGTGGCCAGCGAACGGCGGGCAGCCATTTTCTTCGATATCTGTCGCGCACGATTTCAGGTAAATAACGACAAATTACGAGCCCACCTGGGCCCCGCGAGTCCTCTCGGCTCACTCGTCTAGTCCGCCGAAGCCGAGTCGCCATTCTGGCGGAATTGTTAATTGCGGATCGTTCCCAAGGGCCAGAACCAACTCGCTACTTGGCCCTGTACTTTCCGAAACGCGCGCTTGTTCTTTCTCGCTGTCTTTCTCACTTTCATACTTAGTCTCCTACTTACACTCTGTCTATCTCTCTCCCTTTCTCCTTCTCCCTCATCCGCTCGATGTTTAATCTCGTTCAGTGTTTGTGGGATCATGGAGTAGTTAACGAGTGCAATAATGACGATATAACGACAAGAAGAAAGAGCGATCGAATCTTCCTACAAATGCAAACAAGTAGTACAAAAATTGTGAAGAAAAACGGACGCCAAGTGTGTATAATTTTGGAGCAAACGGAATGAGCGAAAGAGCGTACGAGCGTGTGCTTGTGTGCATCTGTGCGTGCGTGCGTGCGTTCGTGCGTGCGTGTGTATGTATGTCTCTCTCTCCCTTTCTCTCTCTCTCTCTCTCTCTCTATCTATCTCTATCTCTTTCTCGGGCTCTCTCTCTCTCTCTCTCTCTCTCTCTCTGGCTCGCTCTCTCCCTGCATAAGTGCGTGCATGCGTACGTGCGTGAGTACGTTTGCTGCCTGTACCGTGAGACAGAGACGGAGAATGCTTCGTGGCTCCGGAATTCCCGGCGACGCGTTAAGAAAAGAGCGGTATCGAGAGAGTAAGAGAGAGAGAGAGAGAGAGAGAGAGTGGGAGGGTGCGTGAGCGGAGACGCGTGACACCCGAGCGTCGCCTCCCGGAAGTGAGCAATAATAAGATCCTCTTCGAAGCCAAGAACCTCCGCGCCTTCTTCATCCGTTTTCTTGTCCACTTCTGGACCGCGTAATACAATTTAACGTCTACACATTTAATTTCTCAATATCTTATGCTTAAACTCCAAGCTCATTCATATAGTAAATTTCTAGTTTCACAATACAGTTCACTAATAATTTTAAGTGCCAAGTGTTCAATGATTGTTTATGCAGATATTATTTTCAGGATTAAAATTTAAACTGACCCGTAGTAAATCTTTAGGACGTGATTTGTCGATTACAATAATTTAATTGCTTTGGAAACAAGAATACGTGCTCTATTTTCTGTGACTTGTTGTAGACATACTGTAATGCCCATATAATTAATAATATGAAAGTAGCACATTAGTAATTATAAGTAATTATAATTATTTTTACTTTTACCATCATTTATAAAGATATTGCGCGCATTCTTTTTCTCTTCTTTCTCGAGTGTCTACTAATGAAACATTTATGTAAAAAGTATGTATTGAAATATAAATAAGATTTTATATAATGTACTTTAAAACTTAATTAGCTATTAAATTCATTTTTAAACCTTTTGCAATCATAATTAAAGGGCCAACCTAATATGAACTGTCGATTGATTTTTATTTTTATTCAAAAAGGCTCCGTGGTACAACGTCCAATGATTCTATCGTGTTATGCATAAAGCAACTAACGATCAAGTTATAAAAGGGTGAAAGTGTAGAAAAAAGACTAAGAAAAATATTCCAATGATGGGATGCATAATAAATACACTCAGATCAGATGATTCGGAATATCCTGGTTCAGGTATGATCCAGATCCATCATTTATGCTTCTTCAATGCTGGTTACAGTCCTTAGGTGTTGCTAGATTTTTCCAATTTTTCTTTTCATACATATGCCATAAATTGTAGTGATTTTTTATAGTTTATTTACATTAAATGCTTATTATAAAAAAATTATAATATATATATATATATATATATATATATATATATGTATGTATGTATGTATGTATGTATGTATGTATGTATATACATATACTGTTTAGTAGTAGAACTAATAATTTCCTGTACTTGTATGTTTTCCTTCAAGAATATTGGGAAAAAATGTTATACGCTTAAGAAATTCATGGAAATGTATTTATATAAGTGGATTTGTGGAATGGTATTTGGATGGATATACAAAATGGAAATTATCATTTTTGCTTGTATTGTCTGATTTAATTTACTCTTCATTATTTCTGAGTGCTGAGTCTATTTTAATTAGAAGATTAAAAAAAGTTATCAAATTAATCATTTTAGAAAATTTCAATTTAAAATATTCCTAAAATACGATAGTACCTACCTTAATTTTAAATGTAAATTGTGTAATAGAATATATATATATATATATATATATATATATAGCGTACCCCATAGACTGAAATTATTCGATACTTTGCGCTCAACTGTCTTTTTGGTTATTTCTTTCATTGTAATCATAAAAATTAGTACTCGCTTCTACATAAATTGCCATACATTGTTGTTAACAATATAATTATACAAAATTAAATCGTTTCTACTAATTTTATACGTTATTCATATAGATAAAAATTATTGCATTTAAAATTCAATTTCATAATGTTCAAAAGTTAATTTTACATACTACAACAATTGGATATTTTTGATCGATACACGAATATGTAATATGTGATATTAAAACAATATTTTAACATTAATTTTCCATATTTTCTCTTTCTCTTGGCAATTCAAATATTGAAATTCAATCGAATAATAATGACATTTTTCAAAATAATTAGAAGGAAATTATGGCTGATTCGATATTTTAGGTATTGTAAAATATTTAAAGTACAAACCTAAAATAAAGCTCTTATTCTAAATCTATTTTATTTTAATGAGAATTTTAATAAGCATATAGATAATTTGTCTATTAATCTGTTTATTATTACTTTACATAACTGTAATATATTTGTCAACGAAGTCGCAAAGAAATTTTAACCGCTTGAAAATTTTATCTTTTTTTTTTCAATCGAAAAGACAAATACTTTGATTTATTTAATTATTATAAGATTCGTCTCAAATACCATTCATTTGATAGAATACATTAGAATGAATATTTAATGACAATTATAACTTCAGAGATTCTTAAATTTATAGATGAATTATAATAAGTAAGAAATACTCTATCTTACCATCATAATTGTAAATTGAGTGTAAAGAAAAATTTTGCCCTCTAATTCTCTTTTAGATAATTGTACTATCGTAACGATAGGATGTAAAACATGGCGATTTAAAAAAATTAAAATAATAATATTTAAAATAAGCCATAGTGAAATCTACAAAACAACCAATGAGATAAATAAATTTGTTTTCAGGATTCATGGCAGCTATTAGGAAAAAATTGGTGATTGTTGGCGACGGTGCCTGTGGTAAAACTTGCTTATTAATTGTGTTCAGTAAGGACCAATTCCCCGAGGTATATGTGCCTACTGTATTCGAAAATTATGTAGCTGATATTGAAGTAGACGGAAAACAAGTAAGTATAAGTAAAAAAATGAAATTTTTATCTATTCATGTAGAATTAATTTTCTAAAATGTAATTACTTCGATCCCAAGTAAAAGATGCTTTTAAAGATATTTGGTTAAAGACTTTCTTATTTCAAATTTATATCACTATTTTAATATCTACAGCGCATAATTAAAACATTTTTATATTGAATTTTAGGTTGAGCTTGCCCTGTGGGATACTGCAGGACAAGAAGACTACGATAGACTTCGTCCTTTATCCTATCCAGACACAGATGTCATCTTAATGTGCTTCTCCATCGATAGTCCCGATTCCCTTGAGAACATTCCGGAAAAATGGACACCAGAGGTCAAGCACTTTTGCCCAAATGTACCAATCATCTTGGTTGGTAACAAAAAAGATCTACGTAATGATCCTAGCACAATTAAAGAACTTGGCAAAATGAAGCAGGAGCCAGTTAAGCCAGAAGAAGGTCGTGCTATGGCTGAAAAAATCAATGCTTTTGCCTACCTCGAATGTTCTGCCAAGAGTAAGGAAGGCGTTAGGGAGGTCTTTGAAACGGCAACTAGAGCTGCATTACAAGTAAGAGATCCTATTACTTCTCTAGTCTTATACTTTAATACGTCGATGATTTATTGAACTAAATTAACCAAATTTAGAGATATTTACGACAATCAAAAGTAAACTTTAAGTATGATATTGAATTTCTATATTACATCTAATTTATAAACAATAGATCATGTTTAATCATTATTAATTATTGATAAATATTATGTAATATTATGTACCATAAATACTATGGTAAAAATTAACATTTTGAAATATGGGCAAAGGGATGAATTTGGAACAAAATTTTAAAGACAATAATTTCTGAAATTGAATAAAAATATTTCCTTGATAAGTTTTCGATCTCAATTAAATAGGCACTAGTTTTATTTTTATGACAAATACCGTTGCTTTGATTGAAATTCTTCATAAATCACAATAATTTTGTTGTTTAAAATGTCAATAGTTTTCTATTAAAAATCCTTGTAAATTATCTTTTAAATTTATTAAATTTATAAATAAATATATTATTAAAATTATATTATTCTAATTTTCGATCAACCATTAGTATTAGATAAGGTAATTTCAACTTTAACAGCTTCGTTTTTTGCAATTATAAGCCTCTCATATCGTTGACTATTAATTATGTTCTAATTGTTTTTTTTTTTTTTAAAGAATGATATTGTTTTTATCTCTCTTAGGGAATTGAACGAATAATATTATTATTATTATTAAAATATATGCGATTATAAAATAAAGTTAAATATCAATCGATATTTTGCATCTTATTTTCTGATTATTTTCTTAAATACAAATGGCATATAAATTATTGTCACTATACACACGTAATAAAAATAGTAAATAGAATTACAACAAATATACAAAAAATACACATATTAAGTTTTAGTGGATTTAGTGGAAAAACATAAAATATCCATTATTAACGAGTAGACATTGGTTGGGGATGCGGTTCGAATTTACCTTTAAAATATTTTCCATTTAAATTCATTGATTAAAAACATTCTATCCTTATTGTCTACTTTATATGTTTATATGTTGAAAGCCATTATCGTGTCTACTGTAATAATAAAACATTGTTGTACTGTATGAAAAGCCAATGAGAGGTGAAAGTGGTGCTAATAAATGTGATTTCAAAATTTTAGGTTAAGAAGAAGAAGAAGGGAAGGTGTAGGCTGCTTTAAGGTGTAATGCCAAACGGGCCCGACGCTGAACGGGTGAAGTATGGAATTGCGGGGCTAGCTGTACCAAAAAGCTAGTCGTCATGCCGGAGGCCCCAGCATAAACTACAACATAATATCTTATCTTTAATTATTTTACATAACATAAAAACAACAAAAACAAAAAAAAAAAAGCAGATGCAAAATAGTGAACAACTTGCGATATATAAAAGAAACCTCAACAGCGGCAGCAGCAACTCGCTTAGACACGCTTCGTCGGCGAGAAGCAATATGACGCATCTCGACAAACTTTAGTAAAAACAAGTTTAAAAATATTCGATTTGATAATGTAACTAACAAACGAGAGAGAACAAGGGAAATAAATAGAGAGAGAATGAGAAAACAATGAGCGAATTGAGGAGAGAGAGAGAGAGAGAGAGAGTGCGAAAGGGCGAAAAAGGAAAAGTGTGAGAAAGATAGATAGAGACAGAGAGAGAGAGAGAGAGAGAGAGAGAGAAAGAAAAAAGAGAGAGAGAGAGAGAGAGCGCGAATGAGATAGAATGAGAGCAGTCAGGTGAATCAGACGAAAGAATTTGTACTGAATTGCCGATTCTACGATTTGTATTCTTCATCCTTCAAATGGATTATGCTCATATTTTAAATACGAAAAAAATAATAAAAAAAAAACATGAAAATATGAAGGAAAATATTTGATAGTCTCTGTCATTTTGTTCTGTAGTAATTATTGTTACTACTAATTTCATTGTCGTCATATTACTATAATTAAAGAATTCTTTTTATTATTGAAACAATTCAGTTACTTATAAATAAATGCTTTGCTTTAATTTTCTTTGAGCTTTTGTTATTCAAGATATAGCAAGAAAAGCAAAATGTCCTTTGATTAAGAGGGAAATTACGAGGCCTCTTAATTGTATACACAATTTATACAATCGTAAACGAGAAATTTTTAGAGGACTTCTAGTTTTAGCTTTTATTCTATTTTATAAAGGAATGAAGTAAATTGAATCGGCACATTTAAAATTAATCGTGAAAAAATAGAAACTTTGTATTGGACGACTTTGAACCTTAAGATACCGTATAGGTTAAATGTATTATTATTATTATTATTATTATTATTATTATTATTATTATTAATTATTATTATTAATTATTATTATTAATTATTATTATTAATTATTATTATTATTAATTATTAATTATTAATTATTATTATCATCATTATCATTATTAATTATTATTAATTATTAATTATTATTATCATCATTATCATTATTAATTATTATTAATTATTAATTATTATTATCATCATTATCATTATTAATTATTATTAATTATTAATTATTATTATCATCATTATCATTATTAATTATTATTAATTATTAATTATTATTATCATCATTATCATTATTAATTATTATTAATTATTAATTATTATTATCATCATTATCATTATTAATTATTATTAATTATTAATTATTATTATCATCATTATCATTATTAATTATTATTAATTATTAATTATTATTATCATCATTATCATTATTAATTATTATTAATTATTAATTATTATTATCATCATTATCATTATTAATTATTATTAATTATTAATTATTATTTTATTAATTATTATTATTATTAATTATTAATTATTAATTATTATTATCATCATTATCATTATTAATTATTATTAATTATTAATTATTATTATTATTATTATTAATTATTAATTATTATTATTAATTATTATTAATTATTAATTATTATTATTATTATTATTATTATTATTGTAATACGAGGACATTGACATAACGAATTGTAAAAGCGGCTATATTATATTTATGTATTCCGTATAAACTGTCTCGTCTCTCGGCATTGACAGTTAAACCGCAAAAGCTTAAAACATCCTTAAAACATCAGCTCCATATAAAATGCAAAATTTAATAAGGAGGAAATCATAAATCCAATTCACCTACTTATTTCCATAGTTTGCTGTTGCTTGCTGACTTATTTGAGAGAAAGTGAAAATGTGTGTTGGGGGAAGGTCGAGAAAGCTTTGCTAAAAAGTTTAAAAGGACCATGCATATTTTGTGGAGATTGTTCAAATGCATATTATATACCATCGGATAAATGAGTGGCCGTCAAAGCTGTAATATGTCGATTAGGCCTTTTTTTACTTTTGATTAAACTCAACTTTCGACAGACTTTTATCAGCTTTTATTCTAACAATCTAACAAAACGTAGTCTTTTCTCACTTGCGACTTTGTTATCTTATTAACACATTATGAAGGATGTTAACGATCGTAAATCAATAATGGTTTTAAAGGAAAATAAGTCGTAAAAAACAGACTGCAGATTGTATAAAGTATATACATATTTTTATTCTCGTTCGGATATATATTATATGAAACGCGTGTCCGTGCTACTTATTAGTTCACTTTTTTTTATACGTATAATAAATCTTTCGCTAAATATAAAATCTAAGCGAATTATGCAGAAATTATTTTTCACTTAACCACTTGCAATGAATTAATTATTATCTATTATATTGTAGAGCAATTTTATATTTCATTTATTATCATGATTCAAAAAATTTTTGACTACAATCGAATTATTAAATAAAGTGGTTTATGTAAAATACTGTTTATGAAAAATTATCATAAATGAATTTAAAATTAAGCGAGCATAAAATTAACAAAAAATTCTTTTTAATCATGACGAATGAATTTGACAACTTTAATAAACAGTATTTAGCTAACCGTCGTTTATCTCACTTTCATTACATTTGTACAATTTTTTTATTCGCATTGCTTACAATATTTGAAGTATAAACAAGAAGTATTTTAAAATTAATATATTTTTTAAAACCATTTATCAATATTAACAATTTATACCTATAACATAATCATAGATAAATATCCAGTGAATTGATGATTTAAACAATTTTATTTTACTTATTTTAATTGTTACTGTATCGAGGAGGAAAATGTGAATATATGATCATTGCTAAGGTAAGTTTTTGTTTGCTTATTAAATGTTTATATTGGCATGATTAAAACTAAGCATTAACACTTAAAAATTAAATACAAATATAAATCATTGATAATTTTTTTAATTTAACGAGCACAAATATATTGCCGTAAACCTTAATATATTATTTTAACATCACTCATATGGTAATTATATTTATTTATTAATAACCGCTCTAATAGTTTTATTTACCTATTAAATTTGTTTTCTTATAAAATTTTACAACAACTTGCTGCAAAATCATTAAATAATGTATTAAAAATTAATTTTTATAATTAAAATTGCCTAACAAACATTTTATATATAAAATTAAGGAATAATTTTTTATTTCGAATTACTGTAAGATACAACAGAAAAGAAAAACCATTCGATTAATTTATCTTAACGACCACTAAAATATATATTAAAATATTATTTCAGGTGGCTATTGTTTTATAATTATGGAAATCATAATAATCCTTAAAAAAAAAAATTCATTTATATATCGATATAAACGGTAATTGACGATTAACCGAAATGACGTTAACCCTATCTTTACTTCTCTTAAAATAGAAAATCTGAAATGACATGAGAACGTATAAATGTATTTTAACTATAATATTATGAATTATTAAAAAAAAAAAAAAAAAAATTAACAAACATCTCAAATATGTTATATTAAGTTAATAACAGCTATATTCAATATTTATAAAATATTAAATTTAATTTTTATTTAGATAGGAGATTACAAATATTTTTTTACTTTTCATCTACGTAAAATATTATTGTAATAATATATACATATTTTAACAAAGTATTACGTGAGCATTAAAATTCTTTCGACGACTAAGACTAAAAACACGATGCATAAAATTTTAATTACCTTGCAATGAACTAAGACTATTTATTAAACTAATCGAGGTAGAAATTTTTCAATTATAATTATATTTTTATATAAATGTATACTTGTAGGTCGTTTTTCTTTAAAAAAAAAAAAAAAAAAAAAAAAAAAAAAAAAAAAATAGTTTATCATTAATTTTAAATGAATGCTTCACTATGATTATTAAACGTGTTAATTAATTGTATTTATCATTTATTTATATAATAATTTATTTTGATATAAAGTAGTTATATATTTATAGTTTAATAAGAATTACAATCCATTTCTTCTTCTTCCCAACAAATTAAATAATGCCATTGACGAATAAATTTCAGCTTATAATATCGTTAAATTGCAGATATTTTTATGCAATGCATTCAAGGGGAAATTAATACCGAATAAACTGAAAATTTTAATATAAATGTTAAACATGCTGCAAGCTTAATAAGCTTCATTAATAAGTGCACGTATTATTAATGTTAAATTAATATTATTAATATTTTTCACTTATTACACTTGTTACAATTTATTAATGCATTACGCATATTTTATTGGTTATTTTTACAAAAGCTTGAGTTTCTTTACATTTGTACAAATATATCTATCTGCTGCATTATTTCAGATAAGACAAAAATTTTCGAAAATATTTGAACATTCGAAGGCAGATATTTTGTTGAATACGTAATGTAAGACTTGTAATCTCAAATGCAAATATAATTAATATAGCAGTGCACTGATATTTCTAAGGGCTATCATATTGATTAAAGCCACGTCCAATTGCTGCAAGTATTTATTGGAATGATAGGGATATGTATTATAAAGCCAATAAAACAATATATTCATATGAAAAAATTAACTGGAAGGAATTGAATGACGAAAAATTGTTGTACTAAATATAGCTTACCAAGAGTCGTGATTATCGTACCGATGGATGCCAACTTTCGGTATATATTATGCAAGAAAAAAATTGTTGGAATGTTGGTTAAATTTTTGTATTGAGATGTGCCGCGTTTCACTGTCGTGGTGCATTGATGAAAAATATGAGTCGATCGAATACGATAAAAGTAGTGTAATGTACTGATATCAACTTTCAAGCGCTAATGGATTATTGGACTTTTAATTTAACTACTAATTTGCTCACCAACCAACAAATTATTCCGTAAATACTTATATCTTATAAATTGCTTAAGTCATTCGATCAAAATAACAAGACTTATTGAAATTAAAATAATGAAGTTATTAATTAGGAACATAATTTAATTTTGTATATCACT